AACCTTTTGAAATGTCTCTTTTGCGTGCAACTGATTTTTATCCCGCTTTTGCGAAAAACCTGCTACCGTCAGTCTTTTATTCTCACGCGTTCATATTATCTTACTATTACTATACGAAAAACGAAAACTTGATTTTAGTTTTTTTTCTCGCTTCAAATTCGAAATAGAATTGATTTAAATTGGCTCAATCGATAAATTTGATTCTATCTTCTAGTTTGGTATAAATGATTTTACGATCTTCCATATATTTAATCACCACATCAATGTCAATATTGCCTCTCCTGCGAAATTCAAAAAGCAAACATTCAAACGGCGTTAACGATTTAAAAAAATGTCGTGAAAGAAACTAGTCACTTACGTATGATTTCGTTTGTATTTTTTAATCATTTCAAAGCCATCGCCTCCATCGGCCAAGAAGCTGCTCGACACACATTTATAATATTTTGTTGGATTCAATGGTTCGTATTTGGGTGTATGATCGGTGTCTTGTACTGTCATCACCTCGATTGAAACCACACGATTCATCTCTTCATTTGTCATATTGTACACTACTCTCATTCCTATCGAAAAGAAATCGATAAATTCATGGTTTAAATCAATACCGTTTTGATGACTTTACCGGAAACTTGAGTGAAATATTTTCCATCAAATTCAGTTGTTTGCCATGACCCTTTGACAACATATTCGAAGAGAGTTTTCAAATGTTCGCCTTGGAGCTCAAATGTATCGATGGAATTTTCAAACGGTACGGTCGTGGCTAAATCATTGTAGGATATTGCTAAAGAATTAAAAACGCTTTATTAGATCGATTTAAATTTTGTGTCTGTTGATATTTTGAAATGAAAAAAAGAATGTCATCAACTTACAACCCTTATTCAAAGTGGTTCGAATAGCACCGGTTGGAACAAGCGCAATGACCGATTGAAGCCATGCCCCTTCATTTTTACCCGTTAATTCGGTAATATAGTAGTGCGCAAGAGCATCAGCGACAAAATTCCCTAAGTTGCATTCCCGCATCGAGCATGGCGTATTCAGCAGTGTCACTTTTGTTTTTCCAACGATTCGCTGACCTTTTGCATCGATAATTTCCTTCCAAGGTTGAATCGCTTTCAATACCTCTTCGTCTGTAAGACAGCAATCAATGAGAATCAGTTGTACTTTCATTTAACAAATGTGAATCGAATGGAATGCTCTGACCAAGTTATAAAAATCATCACCTGGTTTAATGTGGTTATCCAAATAAAACGGCTGTCCTTCCCATTTGGCAACATTTCCTTGTTTGTCGAAATAAACGGTGATATCGCCAACGTACTTAATATAAGCGGAGGCTTGAACGATTAGCACCGTATGACCATCGCCGTTTTTAACAACGGCTGGATACACATCTTTGACGATGTCTGGTCCAGGGGCGGTTTCACCCTCTCCTACCGTGTACATGAATGTGTGTGAGTGACCGCCAACGATCACATCTACGAACGGAGCTGCTTCTTTCGCAATTCGATAATCAACGTCCAATCCACAATGCGACAAAACGATGATGATATCAACACCTTGTTGTTTTAACTTAGTTGCTTCGCGTTTTATTGCCTCTTCTTCTTTGTAGAAACGCAATTTTCCGGTATTTGAAATTTCCTAACAAAAAGATCAGACAAATCGATCAGTTTCATCAGCAGAACACACGACAAAAGAATTTGAAACCGCACGCTTCGCACAGCAAAGAGCACACCCTTATGTTGTGAGAGCAAAAGATAAGATAAATTTCATACTTACGTCAACATCGCTCACAATGATACCAATCACTCCGATTTTTCGTCCATAGCGATCGATGATGATTGATGGCTTGTATTTTCCTTGAAATGTTGGCTCGTCGGTATCATCAATGTTTGCCACGATTGTCGGCGATTCCAAAGACTCCATGAATGGAACTACACCAGGTACACCATGATCGAATTCATGATTTCCAAGTGTCTATAAAAACAAAAATACATGTAATTCAGTTTGTCTGCTTGAATTGTTTGAAATAGTTCAATGAAACCTACGATTGCATCAGCATTTAACATATTCAAAAATTGTTTCGTCACGTTCCATCGACCGAATGAATACCAAAGAGTGCCCTGAAAATTATCGCCAGCATTCAAGAAAATTGGATTTGGACGGATGGCCTGCAATTGTTTGATTGCAGTCACCGCACGTGCATAGCCACCAATACATTTCTCACCAGGTTTGCAACTCGTTGCTTGCTCATTCGTCTCTTCGAACCTGCAGAACGATGAATTTAAAAATGAAGTTGAAGTTGGAAGAAAATTAAAAATCGAAATGAATGAAAATTGAATATTTTTGGAAAAATAACAGTTGAGCATTGAAAAATTCAAAAATGAAACATAAAGTGTCTTTATATTGAATTGAACATAAAAAAATCATGTCAAATACCTGGCATGAAAATCATTAATGTGAATTATAGATACTGGAAACAAGTCATCCTCATTTGTCACAACTTGTGGTGTGGACACAATGGCAAAGGAATGTTGCACGTGTACAGCCAAAACACACACTAAAATTAGAAATGTGATTGATTTTAATCCCATTGTTTCAAATCAAAGGTAACAAATAGAAGAACTTTTCTCTTCGGTGGCTCTCTTTTTATTGGAGAGATTTTGTCAAAAGTACTATCATCAGTTTTATTGTTTTGCTATCTTCAGTCGAGATTAAAGCAATCAATTGATTAAGAAAATTACAAACCATTATTTGAATTGATAAATCCATTATTTGAAGTGTGGCTATCAACTTGAGCTCGTTTTCAAGTGCCCATCGAGTGAGATTGTTGCAAAAAAGGTATTTGAATAGTAAAAGCGACCTTCAAAATTTTCAAACTGAAAACATGAGTTTTGCCTAACCTCTACACAATTGGACACACTCTTAAAAAGGATTTTTATGTGATTCTTGAAGGAATCTTCGAAATTCTTAATGGAGACGAAACCAGTTATTATTTCCAAAAAATTAGAAAATTCTCAGATTTTCATAAACTCTTTCAATTCTCCTCCAAAAATAAAAAAATCACTTTGAGCTGAACGAATGTCAAATCGCTTCAAATTGGTGGCAACATTACGATTCAAACCAACTGTTTGAATCATTGTACACTGTTAAATTGTGCGAGTGGTGTTTTGACAGCCGTATCGTGTGTCGCTCGCCTGACAGTCGAGTCGGTTTGACATTTGTTATTACATAAACAAACGCAGACATAACAAATAGAGTTTTTTTTATCATTAGAAAATTCGTTCATTCATTTAGGTTCAAAAATTTTTTCTAGAAAATGCAATCGTCTAAATTGTTATTAAAATTGGAAAAATTCGCCCACTTCCATAGTGTCCGCCGTTTCATAAGTAATCAATTTGTGCCGAAGCATCAGCCAGCTGGTCCGAATGATGTACAAAAATTGGAAAACTTTCTCAGGGATAAGCAAAATGTGTTAGTTCTGACTGGAGCAGGCATATCGACTGAATCAGGTGGCTGCAAACGAATTGTCCGAATCTTGTTCTATGTTTTGACTTTTATTCAACTCAATTTTCACATTTGCAGGAATTCCTGATTATCGTTCAGAGGGTGTTGGACTGTATGCTCGGAGTAATTCAAAGCCAGTGCAACATTTGGAGTTCATTCGATCGCCTAAAGTGCGTCGACGATATTGGGCGCGAAACTTTGTAGCATGGCCGCATTTTTCGAATATTCAGCCAAATGATACGCACAAAGCGTTGGCTCGCCTACAGCATAACGGCCAAATTGGTTCAATTGTCACACAAAACGTGGATCGGCTACACACAAAAGCTGGCAGCAAAGATGTATTGGAATTGCATGGATGCGGTTATAAAGTGATTTGTTTAGGTTCGCATTGCGACTATTCAATCGACAGACATGAGCTGCAGTTGATTTTAAATTCGATGAATCGAAATTTGATGGAACGAATTGATTTTATGCGACCGGATGGTGATGTTGATATACCACAGGTCAGTTGTATTCGATTTTATTTCAATTTTTGATATAATTTTTCTCAGTTGAACAATTGTTTGCCGTTCAACGCCCCACCTTTGTATATCATTCCATTGCCAATTCCATTCACGCGACATAATCATTTATTTTCTATTCCAAAACAGGAATACATAGACTCGTTCAAAGTACCCGATTGCCCAAACTGCGGTGGCATGTTAAAACCTGAAATTGTATTCTTCGGTGACAACGTACCAAAGCAACGTGCCGAGAGACTAGCGAATTTGGTGTGCAATAGCGATGCGCTCCTAATCCTTGGCTCAAGTATGCAAGTATACTCAGGCTATCGAATTTTGTTACATAGTCACGATTTGGGAACTCCAATCGCAATTGTAAATATCGGAAGTGTTCGCGGTGAAGACAAAGCCCAATTGAAAATTTCAACCAAATGCGGCGATGTTATACCCAAGCTATTTGTATCCAATTAAAAAAAATAAAACACATTTTTTTTTACCAAAAGAAAACAAATTGTGTATTTGCTTATGTGAACATTTATGCTCCAATTCGTCTATTCTTTTTTTTTAATTTCTTACATTACTAAAATGAAATCATTGACGATAGTCTTTGTCTAATGATTATTTTGTGTTAGCTTTTTCTACTATATTTATGATTTTGTTTCCATCGTCTCGTTTTCACTGTTACGAATATGTATACCGTTCTGGATGAAACACCTACTGTTCCAAGTCTTTATTTTAGACGAAAAAAAAATTTATATTGGGTTTTCGATTTAGGTTCTCATTGCGACTATTCGCTATTTTGGGGTATTTGTTTGGTGTGTATGCCGGAGATAATTCGCAATGGAAGATCCAATTAATTGACCTGAACAAGAACAACCTTTCGTGAGCGAATGTTCGCATCGTCACCAATTACAGTGACCAAATACAATTGTTCAAACTCTTTCTTTTGTATCATCTAAACTAAGCTGGTTGAGTAATTTCCGAAAAACTTACACAAAACTTAAATGTCCACATAATGGTAATAGTAACTAAGTGATTGATTCCCCTCCAGAACAAATCATTTAAAAATGTAATTGTAAAATGCCTGATTTGGGTCGAAATCAAATGAAAATATGGGAATTTACTCTTTTTTTCTCTCTGTTGTTGTCATTAAAACAAGTGAAACGTTCAATTTATAAAAATAAATGTAGAAAAAAGTTATGAAATTGATTATGTTCCTCTGTTTTGTGTGTGTGTGTGTTTTGGCTGCTTTCGCTTTGTTGGTTTGTTTTTTTCCTTTTCTTTTTTTTCATGGGTTCACAATCGAAAATCGTAATGGGTTAAAAAAAAGTACACTGACGATAATGGTCGGCTAATCAAATGTTGGTTGACATTCACGATGAAATGGTCCATTTACAGGAAGTACTCCGTTTGCGGTTTCTTTGATGGAATGCCTCGACTTTCTTGCGGTGCTGCTTCAAATATGATGAAATTTCTATGCAGATGGTCATTCAGCTCAAGTATAGCAGCTACGTTTCCACATCTGAAATTTGCAATTTTTATGGTTAATGCGATATCCGTTGCCAATTCAATTGATTCAAACGAGGACATTTTAATTTCATGTTCAATGAATTGATTTCATTGTTCATCATTTTCAAAACGGATACTTGAATTTCGTTTTTTAAAGTTTGGTCATATATTTAGTAGTTTTATGCATATAACATGTTTAAATAAATAAATCGCATGAACTCACCTATAGCAATAGTTTGGTGCTGACCATACGGTCAGAACAGTCTCGTTGAAATGCCATTTGTATCCTTCCATAACCAGTTGATGCGCTCGACAAATCATATCGATGTCGTTGGCATTATTGAATTGTGTCACAACGTCAGATCCAAAAAGATAACCAGCACCACGAGGCGATACACCCCATCCGATTGTGTCTGAAATACCATAAATTATTATCATCATTCGAAGAAAAATTGACAATTCGCCAGGTAGAATGTGATTAAATTAAAATTTTCGAAAAAGTGTTCGAAATGATCCTAAAAAAGGCATTGTCTTAAAATAAAATGTTCCCATTCCATTGAAAATCAAAAAATCAAATAAATCATCCGTCTAGAAACACAGTGCCTACCTTCTGGATCGCTCCAAAGTAGATCACACATGGGTCCATCGTGTGGAACCTCTTGTTTGCGGTCAATTGTTCGAATTTGATCTAAATACTGTATCGATGGGCTGAGGCCACCGTGTACGCAGAATATTTTACCATCTATGATCGCCGATAAACTTAAATAGTCGAATATTTCTGTACAATAGCGCCATACATCGGTCGATCCATATTTGCGTAAGCATTCATCATAAAATCCATAGACTTGAGTAATTTGTCGGGATTCGTGGTTGCCGCGAATCAATGTTATTCTGTCTGGATAGCGTACTTTCAGTGCCAATAGCAGCAGAAATGTTTCTACACTGTAATAGCCGCGATCGACAAAATCGCCCATAAACAGGTAGTTTGTTTCGGGCACATCGCCGCCAACCTTAAACAATTCCTTGAGATCATAAAATTGCCCGTGGATATCGCCGCACACCTGAAAACCGAACAAATGTGTCATTTTTTTGCCTTTTCCTCGACAAAATCGAATGAAAATAGGAACATTGCTTTGAAAACACCTACCGTAACTGGTGAATCGACACGTTGAACATTTCCCTCTTCGACGAGAATCTCTCGTGCCTTGGCACATAGTGCTTTGACTTCACTTTCACGAATGATTTCGCATCGTTTTAGCTGTTCGATTTGTCGATCCAAGTCACTGTAATCCGCCATTGGATGGTTCCTAGTTGATTCGGTATTGGTTAAAATTTGTCGGATGGTAACCACACTCAGTCCGAATCGTGACTAGTTCAGTCGACTCGCTTTGAGTGGTGATTATGTCAAAATACTTTTTTTTTCTTCTCTCTTATTTTGTTCTTCCTCAATCAATCAATTACTTTGGTAGCTAAAAAAACGGGGAAAATACAACAAAGCTCTCTTTTAAAACACGTATAAACTTACAAAAACAATCTAGACGATGGGCATCATTTTTCACATTAAACGTTTTGGTTGCACAAGATTTATAGAAAAAAACATCATCGACAAATAAAAGAAGAAAAAAAAAATACGAAAAAGAGATTTGACCGTAAGCCCACCAATACACATTGCTTACTTACCTCTCTGTCTCAATGCTTGTCAATTGTTAGCGTCTTTTGGCTGGTTTATGTATTGCTTGTGTTACAAATGTTTATGAAATTACTTGCATTTTTACAAATAAATATCAATGAAATGAATATGAATAATTTAAAACTAGAATTTGAATGGAATTTATGGATTTTGTGTGGTTTTTCGTGCTGTGTCGGGTTATAAGAATATGCGATTCGACTGTTTGATTGCGGTGCGTTCAATATAGTATTTGTTATTCTCTCTCTCTCAGTTACACTGAAGATGGCTTGTACTGAACGCTACACGATTTCGGCGCCATTTTAATTGCTCTGCATGTATGGGTGCATGGTAGAGGGAAAGGAACATGCGAACGCAGCACTTTGCGTCATCGGTGAAGCATAGTAGACTCAGACAAAGAGAGAACGAACCGTGCGCGTGTGTGCGTATGACCGTTGTGACGTTTGTGTTGAACACAGAAATTGGAAGAGAATGAGAAAGAGAGAAACACAGTCACGAGTATTGATGGGAACAACATGAGAATGTTAGTTGTACAACGCCAGCAAATATACATACGGTGACTTTGGGTTCGTTCAATGCAACCATTGCCGTTGATACATTTATTGAAATGTTTGTTTTTTGTTCAATCAAAATGGATTTGAAAAAAGAGATAATTTTAATGAAAATAAAAAATGCAGTGAAAAAAAGTCTCAATTGAGACAAAAAAAAACTATTCTTGTCAGCTTCTCAACCATTTTCCATGTAAAAACAGCGAATGTTGTCATTTCGTATGCAATGCCATTGAATGCATTCATTTTACCGTTTGTCGAGATACAAGACCGCAAGAACCGGCTTAAAGCATGCTATTTTTTTCTTTGACTGCGATATGAGCAAATATATTATTTTCATTGGCTTCAGCTGGTTGTGTTGGTGACGACGAGCATTGTGTGAATGTATGTGTGTGGCGCGCCAGGCGAATTGTCAAATCGAACGGTGAAGTTTTTATTTTCTTTGTAGAAAGAAGTTGGTTCTGGTGATATTTTTACGGGCAAATACGTTTGTTTCACGTGTGTTTGTGAGTTCTCATTATGATAATCTTGCACAAAAAAATTATGTAAACAAAACCTTTCGTCGGCTTTGCCATCAAAATAAACCGCAAAACGTATTGATTACGTTTTGTATTGGGCAAAAAATTCTTGATTTTGCCTAGAATAAATTGCGAAACACTAAGAATTCAATGAGCATCGAATCGAACGATTGACACAAGCGACAGCACCAGCAACAGCAGTAGTAGTTAATTCGTTATGATTACAATCAGCATCCGTGTATGAATTGCTCAAAATGCTACAAAAACTTTGAAAACCGAAGGCAAACACTTGCACATGCGCAGTTTACAATCAATTGAAATATACCGCGACAATCATCCATCCATGTTTCTTTTTATTCTTTTCTCTATTCTCTGCTACTAGTGGCTCTCGTTTCGTCATTACTTTGTGGTAGTATTTTCATACACGAGTTTCGAGTGGCAGTGAAAAAGGGTTCTATTCTTTATCGTTCTCAAAAAACGAATATCGAAAATTTCTTGGTAATTTTTCATTGGCTTAAAAATTTGGAATCAAAATAGAAGGTTTATCACATTTGTCATAAGTTGTGTAATAGTTGCAGCCATAGTTGATAACATTATATCAGTGAATAGAATGATTTTGAGCCAACAAAAACTCACTATCGCGGTGTTTTGTTTATGATTCATTACTTTTTTATTTCCTGCTTGCAGGAAAAGTGGTTTGTTTAGTTGAAAGGCTTCCAAGAAAACAGCTATTGACAACTACCCTTTAGTTTGTGTTGAAAAGTAGCCAATTGCATTGAAATCAAAAGTGAAAATCATTGATAGACGGATTAAACTCTTTTATACTGTGCTCTTAGCCGTTTGCACGTCGAATAGGAAAAAAAATCACTTTTCAAATTCTAGCTAAAGAATTCTTTGGCTAAAATTTGAGAATTGATTTCCATTTTTAATTGCAGTTCGTCGATTTATAGTGAATAACAGTTCCAATTGTGAATTAAGGCCGAAAAAGAAGTGAATTCAATCGAGATAAAACAACGGAAATCGCATCGAAATTTACCGTTTTCAACGAAGTTACACGAATCAACTTGTGCTGAAATACTTTTGTATTGAGAGAGAGAGAGAGAAAAAATGGGAAACATTCATACGGTTGGCCCGAATGAGGCGCTCATTGTTTCAGGTAAGTTAAAAACGCCAAAAAATAAAACTAACCTCTAGCATAGAAAGAAAAGGCTTTTGTTTACACAGGCTATAGATCCTTCGTTGACACATGCATGGCAAAGAGGGAAGTTATTTATGGTCGAAAAAGCAGAAAAAGTCGAACGTTATTGTTTATTATTCAGTGTTGTTTAGGTACGGTTTCGGTAGTTGAGACGAGCAGTCTGCAATTCATTAGGGACAATTTGAAACTTTATTTTTAGTTGAACTTTAAATTCTTGATCAAAAATATGCAATATCCAGTTTAATGCCGGAAAAATGTAGTTCATCATACATATTTTTAAATGACGTAAATTTCTTTAAATATTCGCTTTGAATTGTTCCCTATATAATTTATGACTGCGTGCCTAGTGCATATTATACGTTCATTAGATTGTAGCACACGTATTGTTTGATGTCTGGCAAGCGCTGTATCGTAGTGGCAATTAGTTGGATTGGTGCGCCCATATAAACATATATACTATACGGTAAAGAATACACAGCAAACAGTTTCAAGCTGTGATATGTGTGTCTCTCTCTCTATATATATATATGTTTGAATTTGGTTCTTATGTTTCATCAAATGGAAAAATCATAATGTAGAATGATGTCATAGTGCCAAATCATTTTGACATTCAAATGAACAATGAATTTGGCACATACTATTACGGGCGCCTTTATATGGATTTCATATCAGGCAACAGCGTGATTTTGACTAACGTTTTTATTCTCAGATTTTTTTTATCTCTGTGCGATAAATGACAGTACAATTAAAGTTGTTAACTTCAACGATTTCTACTTTTGGATTTGAAGTGGAAGGAAAGTGTGTGATCTTGATTGTTACTGAGCCGAACTGTTTTTTTCCAAAACGTTTATCAATCGGATACAGTCTGATTTCAAAACCAGATTTTTGTACATACACACAATCGAACAAAGTAATGAATCACATAGCAAACGCGTTAAATGGCTTGTTTTTGTTTATCTCAGTCAGAGTAAATTTATCGAAAAATGCGCTACAATCCGTCAACCACTGATATACACAGAGTCATGATTCACGGGAGCAAAGAGATCAAATGAATTATTTATGCACTGATTTCGCTTAGAAAAATGCACTCGCTATTTGCTGTTCGCTCTTTCGCTAGTGTCATAAGTAAATACAAGGAACCGTAATATATTCCAAGTCACTGAATTTTCCATTCGGTGATGCTGCACCATTAAATCTAACGATAATAAATTCAGCAAAAATGGCCCAGACAGCCATACACATATAGAACGAGTCGAAATCCAAGCATTCAATGGCAGAATAATACGAAAATATCGTTAAATTATGCAAGATTCAGTCGTTTTGTAGTGGCTATCACCGTCACCACAACCACCGTCCAGCCGAAACAAGCGAACGACGGTCACAATACTTTGGCCAAGCCGCAAAAATCAATGACGTCATACGGACGACTCTGTTTACAGTAAAAGTGTTTTGTAAACATATTTTACATAATGGTTTCTTCGCTTCCATTTCATTTCAATTCGTTCCTTTCACTCCCGTCCCATGGTTTTCAATTCAGTTTCTCATTCAATAAATAAATAGTCGTGGTGCGTGTCTCCCCTCGTATTTCAGCGTATTTATTCCGTCAAGAGGTGATGCACACACACGCATCGTTAGCAGCACACGACGAGCTGCACCACATTTTTCGTATGAAAATCCAATTTTTCCATGATTTTCAAAACGAATCCTCGATAATCTGATGAGTTATTTATCGATGAAATCAAAATGATTTCGGAAAGGTTACTGCAACGAAACACTGAAAACAATAATTCATTACATTTTGCACACTAATGCGGCGACAAAAAGTGAGGGAGAGAGAGACATACAGAGATTGAAAGTATGATTCAGTTGCCACGCAACAATGGCGACGCTTCGGCATCACTATGATATACAACCCCTCGAGAGAATGAGAGTGACAACAGTATACACACATACACAGTCAAACCGGAGATGCTTTCAGCGGGGGGGACGATTTCAAGTGAAGAGAAAATCAATTGAATATGTTTCAAATTTGATGCGAAGCCCTTGTTTTCTATATAAAAATTATGAATATAAATGACTGCGCTTTGTTCCTGTCACAAAATAGACTGTTGCCCACAAATCTAGTAGTTGAACAGCATTGTGTTGATTATACATTATCTCCAAAGAAAAAATCTAACAAAAATACAGAAAAGTCGGAAGAAAATGGTTCTTGTTCACTTTGACGTAAAAAGCCGTATACTTAGAGAGTAATTTTTGGTCTGTGTTTGGCGCCTCTGATCGGTTTATTCATCTATAAAGCATTTTATTAGGTCAATAGCCAAACAACGGTAAATACATCGAAAATGTCGTTGTTTACTGTCTATTTTTGTCTTTCTTGCCCAAATTCAACTTCAACTGAAGCGAAATGAGCAATGACGTTCGGGCGTCCTCCGAAAAATACGCCTGCTATAATCACCATGATGGAAAGTGATAATTTTGGAACGCTGACGACAACACACTCAACGTTGTTGTTATTGGTAAAATATCCTAATCATAATCAGCGATTATAATCACTAGCAAATTACGTCGTACCCATAGCGAGTGGTTGTATACCATAGGGAATTTTTAGCCCAATCACACTGAATCAATCAAATGAAAATTAGTCTATTTATACATCGGTTTGCGATATCGGTGTATCACATCGAAGGAAAATCAATTCGAAAATGGAAACTGAACAAACATTTTTGAATTCATTCCGGTTTCCGAATAGGGATTTTGTTGGTAAATAGAAATCAGCCGATTTCTAGACGAACATTCGAAATAGATATATCATGAAATGTAAATGAAACCAAGATTAGTATTGGTTTATCAGTGTGAAATCATGCGCGAAGTATCATCCATTTGAGTCGGCTCGAATCTATGCTTAAATGTAATAGAATAGTTTCTATGCGAGTAGATTTGGTGTGGGACAAAAAGTACGGTCATTGAACACTTAATTTGAAACCAAGACAACTCGACACAAGGCGATACGGGATGGAAGGGAAAAAACGGTGGATTACACAACGATAGCAAAAATGCTTATGCTTAAACATTTTCTGACGTTCGCTCACCAGAGAGTATTCTCTTGAGAAATTTCTTTAAAAGGCTTTCACAAAAAAATTGCTTATGCCATATTTTCCAAGAGCATGGATGTACCAAGCAAAAACTGGATGACACTTTGAGTTTGAAAGTACCATTCCGACTGCGAACAATGCAACTGGAAATAAACCCTCCTCCACTCGTTCGAAACGAAAATTCAATTGAGCGCTTGAACAAATTAACGGAAATTGACGCAATCGACCATGAATAAATGCTATCGACAATGAATCGCACATTGTTCCATTCGAAATAATTGCTGCATTGACATTTGCACTGATAATAAAAAGCCCAATACGTTTCTATGGCTCGGTCGGTTGGATTTCAGTCGACGCATAGCCTTTGTTTTTGTTTATCAAACAATCGAGCGTCACTTGTGCGCTACTTTAACTATGTCCTCTTGTGCAATTAATTCGATGGACTTACCTCATTCTTCGCACACTCACACTGAATAAACATCACCAGCAATTGTCTTGTCGTAATCGTATATTTATATACTCATTGGCTACAATTTTCGCTGCGAAATAAATAGAATAAATAAATAGCTTAGCCTAATTTTGGAACGGTTTCTGCTATTTAATCTCATTGTGGTGGCTGACGCAGCCACTTGGCTTTCAGCATGTCGGCTAATTTCTCTCCAATCATAAAACTGACTGCGTTGGTATGAGCCGTTATTGGCTGTGGTACAATACTGCAATCGGCGACGCGTAATCGCCTCACACCATAAACACGTAATTTGGAATCGACAACGGCTGTTGGATCAGTGGCCGGCCCCATACGGCAGGAGTTCACTTGATGATGCAGCGTGCACGAGAGTGTGCGAATCGAACAACGCCAATAGTCATCCGAAGCGAAAAGTAAATGAGCACATTGTGGCAGTGGTATGTCATGGAGTCGAGCGCCCAATTTTTGCATAGCCGGCGAATTGGCGATACGAATCGATTCTTTAATGCCACCCAAAAGAGTTTCCACATCGTCAGGGTCTTCAAAGTAATTCGGATAGATGCGTGGCCAATGGAATGGATTTTTGTCCTTCAATTCCAACCATCCACGTGATTTTGGATGGAAACCCATCACAAGTACCGAAAAATGATCAATATCCGGACGGTCAAGTGGCTTAAAAACGGTATCATAGACCTCTTGGGTAATTCGCATCCCTTTTTTCAATCCACTTCCTTGGTCCGATGCCAAACTTCCACTGACAAAAATCAATTCAGCATCCGGCAAATCGGAAGGAGCCCTTGAATTGGGCGTCTTAATAAAATTCAATGCTTCAACGCCACCGATTGACGTTAGAAACCCATGACCGTGAAGATATTGTTTCATATCAAGTAAACTGATGCGTGCAACCGATATGGATTCTCTGGTTGTATTAACGATAAACGTCGGCCCAAAGTGGCTCATATGATCGTACATATTTCGTCCGACACCGGGCAAATTTTGTAGAACGGGAATACCTACACGTTGTAATTCTTCAGCCGGTCCAATACCCGAGAGCATTAGTAATTGCGGTGAATTAAATGAACCTGCTGATAGAATGACCTGCAAATTGGAGGAACGACAAAGTAAATACATGTAAACTGTCGTAACGAACGATTGAAAGCATTAAATTAACAAGTACCTCTTTCAATGCAGTCACTTGATATTTCCGTTTGTTCTTCGCATACTCAACACCGTATGCTTTTCTAGTTGCCGGGTCGATGAGTACTTTGGTAACACGCGCCTCCAGTAGAACATGTAAATTTGGCCGTTTGTACATGATTGGATCGATAAATGCGGTAGCTGCACTGTGTCGACGACCTTTTAACGTATTGGCTTGTACAAAGCTAACGCCAATTTGTTCATTACTATTGTAATCAACTTCACGGTGCCCAACTTGCTTTGAGCCTTTGACAAAAGCGCGTGCAATTCGACTACGCCAGGGTACATCTTCCACACTCAATGAACCGGCTCGATTATGGTACGGTGAATTTTCTTTGCCACGCAAATTGGCACGTTCCGATTTCAAAAAGTATGGTAACACTTCTCTGTACGACCATCCATCGTTTCCGAGTCTAACCCAATCGTCAAAATCTCGGGGATTGCCACGATTGTAAATCATGTAATTTATGACCGAAGACCCACCGAGTACTTTACCTCTTGGTAGCGCGCATCGTCTTCCTTCCATTCCTGCCAAGTAATCGATTAATTAACGATTTCGAATCATTAAACTCAATTGACACAATATCCCATTTTAAAATGCTCGCTTACCCAGGCAAAAGTTATTAGACGGCTCTGCCAAGTAATTCCAGTTGGATTCAGTCGATTGAAAGTATGCAGCGATGGATGGAACATAATGGCCAATTGTTTGTGGCTTTCCAGCTTCCAACAACAGAACCTTCCATTTTGGATTCTCCGACAATCGATTTGCCAGAACACAGCCAGCTGGCCCAGACCCAACTACGATAAAGTCATATTCCAACAGAGTTGGATTTAAACCTGCAAAACAGCGTATAAACGAACAAAAATTAAATGCTTCGTTAGATTTAATGGTAAATTATCGCATTTAAAGAGTAGATATGTTGTCGCGTGAATTTGGGTCACTCTACTGCATTTCGATTTAACAGGCATTTCGATCGAAGAAGAGGGAAAAAGAAGCGGTAAAAAATGAAATTGGCACAGAATGCATGGCACTCATAAGGCAGTAAAAACGATGGCTATTAACGATTGGCATCCACTTGTATTACACAATCGAAATCACAACCTAAAATCGTATAACACACACGTGCAAATTCCATGCGTGCATGAGTCGCACTCAACTGAACGTTCTTAAATGTGTTGTTGTTGTTGTTTTTCGTTCTGGTATGCTGTAGCCAATTAATTTCAACCAGTTTCCAGTGTCATTGACATTGGCAATGCATGCGCAACCGCAACACATAGACTCTTCGTGTGCCCGTCGTCGGTACCTTATTACTGATATCATATGACAAACATCATGCATACTCAATGCTAATTTCAATTAACAACGGTGTTTCATAATTCCATGCCATTCGCTTACATTATTCAAATGCATTTATTTGCAGTGATGAATTGCTTGTTGGCAGTTCAGTCCATCATTTGAGAATCTATCGCTTGTTTTCACAAAACAAGTCAAATGAAAATCTTATCGAATAATTTGCGTTCGTCGTGACAATACGACAATTCTAAAATAGAAATAGAACAATTTGCTGATATGACTTCGTTAAAATGTTGACTAGAAACTGCATACATTCTCTGAATCAGCACCGAAATCTTCGTCGAACTATCGAAATGCTCAATGTCATGCTACTTTATTTGCAATAGCTATTTTGTGCGTCTAATCGCGTTTAAATAGTGTCGTTATTTTATTTTATCGCCCAATTGTTTTATCAAATGTGCTGTGTCAAGATGTGAAATAGAAAACCAGAATTATTCTCATTTGACTTGGACGTTCCAGGCAAAATTTTCGCGGTAATTGATAAAGTTATCTGAATGTTTGAATTGCACAAAAAATGTTTCATCGGAAAATTGTTTTCTACCGTTTTTCTTCTTCTTCAACAGCAATACAATTCTTATCGTCGCGTATTAGCCTAAAAAAACACTTTTATTAATTCCTTAAACTTACCAAATTGATTGGTTGTATGACTGAAACCGTTATGTTTATTAAAATCCCATGAAACGACGAATTCCTTATGTGCACCCGATTCGCGCATTTGATTGAGGAAAATTTGAAATTTCGGCGTAAAAAGAAATCCATTGGCTGTCCATAGAATGGAAGTGGTCAAGATAATCGTCACAAATATCCAGCGAACCATGGCGGCGGCGGTGTTCGATTTTTATCACTTTATTTTTTCTATCAATACAATTATGATTTGTTTGAGATCAAGATTGCAACTGACACAGAATTTAACAAAGAATTTTACACGAATCTTTTATTGTTCAACCGTTTTATTTTCTGTCTCTGTCTTTGTTCAATACCTTACACCTAAAATTAGTTGTACAAAAGTCTACATCAGAATAACTGTTAAAACCTTATTATTTCGAAGCAAAACAAATTGTAAGTTTTTCGCTTGTGATGTTTTCCTGACCGCGATCAGTCGTTGACTAAATGAATCCAAGGAGAAACACCAATTTATTTACGGCACGAGCCACTTTTACCGACAGCCACTCTGCCTCTATAACAGCGTGTGCATATAGAAAATAAGTAGTGATATGACTTCGAGTTTATCTTTCTCTTCCGTGTGTCATTCGAGAAACAAATCGTACGGCACTCGAACACGCACAACTTGTCTTTCTGCTGGTGAAGCACAGGTTAGCTACAATGGCTGGTATGTTCGATGGGCAAAACTTCGGCACAATTAATCATGTGTATGATTCTCTCCATATCATGGACGTCAATGGTGTGTTGCCATTGAGAGAACGATTTGGAAGATACGATCGCTTAAGGCATGAAGTATTTCAAGTCCATTGGAACTTTTCTATGTAATAAGCTCAATTTCAACAAATGGTTAAATTTCATTAGACGTACAATTTGTTTGGAAACTGGTCTGGTTGGTTTTCAATTTGGGTGAAATCGATATGTGGCTCAAATTTTTTGTGTGAATTGACACGTAAACCATTTTTTTTTGTAAAACACGTGCCTTTGCCTTTATCCTCGCCCCGATCAAAAAATTTCCATAATAATCAACAACAATATGCACCGAGATTCATTTTATTCAGAGAAACTTAGTTTCTCCTGCGTGTGAAATTTTTGGATTTATCACACAGAAACAATTAATTTATAAATATTATAATTCGATTCATTCCTTCCGATATGACACCAAAAAGCCCAAAGGCTGCTCAAAATTCATTGATTTGCAAACAAATCGAAGCTCATCTACATAGACACGTGCACAAATCACTTGCCAAAAAGAAAAAAGGCAACAACCTTCACTTTTCATTCAACAAGTGTCTGATTTCTTCTTTGGAACGATTCTCAAATTCACATTCATCTTCACTGACTTCTTCGTATCGTCAACGAAACGTAGAAATTCCGTTTGAATCGTTTATCGGTAATTTCTTGAAAGATTGCAGCGATTGTTTTTTTAGGAAACATTTTCAACGATAAAAAGAAATCGCAACCGTTTATCTTCTCACACAAAGCACTATTTACCGGCTCATTTAAACTATTCCACCGAAATTCAACGGTCAAAATGTTCTGGTTGTAATTCTTTATGGGAAATGACCACCGAGTGTATTACACAACTGCCTTTATAGCTTCGGAATGATGGCGTACTTTTGCGTGTTAATCTTTTTCTGGCTGCACACGATTCGTAGAGAGGGAATTGTTTATTGGTCACAAGCGATTTCCGAATTGATAAACGCGGAATAATTAAACGGCCAACACTATAAAGTTGCAAACGTATCGTGTTCAGCACCTAAGTTCATTTACAGCGTGAATGAGCCGAAGCGAAACCAATGTCCATCGGCGAAAATCAACCAATACTATCGTCTACCGTTCTCATTTTGTTCCCTTTCGATTCTTATCAAACGAACGTATCGATCGCACTAATCGATCTATTCGATTTGTTGTTTGCATTTTGTTTCATGCATCGTATTACTTTCAAGACGGTCAGTAGACTAAAACTAAAGTCTGTTTGTGTTGCTATTGCGGAATGCAATCAATTAAACACCCATAGAAGTGATTTTGTTTAGCAAAAAAGATAATTTCTAGGCCAAAACTGCGGTTTTACTGATATTTTTTCCGCTGAAACAATAACCTTCGCATTTTCGCGGTAAATGCGATTTAATTTAATCGCACATTTGCAATTGATCCGATTTGTGGCTATTGATTGGATTACGTGATTGATAACCGGTGTGCTTTCTTTGACGCTCGAATTTCGAAAGAAACTCGATTGACAAAACGAAAACGACCACACCGGCAATCAATGGTGTATTACCACTTTTCTGATCCAGTTTTTAACCGAAAAATAATTATGTAAGCGTTTATTTGACGCACTAAAACAACGATTATTACTGTCATTGGGTCAATTGTTTTGGTTTTGCAGTCCACCAATCATTTGGTGAACGGTAAATGTGACAGCACGTGACCCACAAACAGAACGATGTGTAAAGAATCTCTTCTTGCGGCGATGTTCTTTGTTTAATTAATTTTATACTATTTCACTCTGTTTAAAATGCAAATAATCCAGCAGTGCAAGACTTTCGCGTACACACAGACACAGACACACACACACACACACACACACACACGAAACGGGGTTAATTGATTTCATTTTGTCTTGAGATTTCACCGATAACCTGTTTGCAATGTCCTGGTGCACGCATCATTGATAATGATCAGTGAGTAAACGGTCTGCTTCTTGTTGTGTCTGTCGAGAAGTCTGTTGTGCTCATCGGAAAAGAACCGTTAAGTACAATAATTTATGACCGTCAACACTGTGACTAAATTGATGATAAATGCTGTATTTGTCCCAATAATAAATTTCAACTCAATCAATAAAAAGTAAATTCACCTCAGAATGGACACAATTCACGCGATTCTATATGAACAAGTGGAATATTCAAATCAGATCAAACTACAACCAGCTTCGTGTTTTCTATTTCTCCAGCTAAAAACAATTTGAAAAAAAAAATTCTCGCTAATGTCGCGAAAGGCGACGAATGAAGTTGAAAATGAAAAAAAAAATCGATAAAAAAATGAAAAAATAAGTCCACGAGCGAATGTGATATCTTTGAAATCGAAATTGATAGTGTTTTGAGTTTTTTTTTATTGAAACACTGTCATAAACTGTGGCACATGAAATCCGTTTCATTATTCATGTCATGCACACATCAGAAATATCAAAATATGATTATTGATTTGATCATCCGAAATAAAGCAATTCTGATTTTCAAAGACATCATAAATCCATTTTATTATTCATCACTCAATTCATATGATATTTCACATAATAAATGGATATGGTGTTGCATGTTAAACGAATCAACATAGAAATAAATATTACAAATAACACCATCGGATTAATGTTAACGGACAGTAGCGAAATTCAAATGAAATTCCCAACGCACCGCAACGTGCTTCTCCACACACAGCAAAAGCTCGATTGTTGTTTTAACGTCTCCCATTAAAATATAGCAAATAGACAACTTTTTTTTCTCATCGAAATAGCAGTGCTTTCGCTTCAGTAAACAAGCTTTGCGAAACAACGAAAAGCATTAAAGCGCACGGCATAAAGTTGAGCTGTAGTGGTGAACTCAAGTTCAGCAACGTGTTGTTTAGTTTGAATTAATAATTAATTCCCTCGTTTGAATGAACGAATTTCATTTCCGACACCCGTTTGTTTACAGCCGCATAGTACATTGTAATTGAAACTGGTTGATCATGAACTACAAGCCTTTTTGTCATTTGTTCGCATGATTCTTGTTCTAAACTACAATCAGTAACTGAACAAGACACATTATTTTTCCTGATTTTGTTTGTCATTCCGCATGGTTTCAAATTGTACCTTCGGATGGCGATCTTCACAGCAACAAATGGGCTGGGAGCGAACAAACCACAGTGTGCATAAATAATCCAATGAATTTCCATCAATTGACCAGATACATTCACGAGTTTCAATTAAATGAAAATGATTTTATGCAAATATCAAGTGTTAATCGCACGAATTTTTTTTAACTCAATCGACGATATGGACTTCATTAATATGGATCCATAATTGGAGTTCAAAAAACTGGTTTTTTTTTCTTCAAATTCCATGATCAATATCATAGAACAACATATGATTCGTCAGCATGAAAGTCGGTATAAAAAGTGACTTTCAATAAAACAGAGGTTCAACACTAGATTTTATTTTTTTCCAAGCGGAATGTCAACGGTTGGTCGTTATTTGTTTTATAGATTGTAATTTATTTCATCGATTTTTGCATAGACGCACGCTGAGCGTTTGCATTTTTGGTTGCCGATTCTTGTTTTTTTTTGTACCCATAAATTTAAAGGTAAATTTGGACAATGAACTCTATTTATGTTGTGATAGATATGATAAGACTATCCAAATGACATTTCTTTGTCCTTTTTGACTTTCTCTATCGTCTCTGCATCATTTGAATTTAAATGTTGTTCATTCGAGGGGGTTTTACGCGTTTTTTTGTTCACATTTCGTTCACGTGTGGTTCCTCAAGAATTTTTTTGCTTCAAATAGATGCATACCAATGAAAGAACAATTAAATGAAAAGTTGAAACTAAGTAATCAGCAGCGAAGAGACCAACTCGCTTTTATTTCAACTGTACACGTGCGTGAAAGATGTTGATTGTATGAAAAATGGTCGTGGCAATATGATTCCTGTTCAGCAGAACAAACCTGATCTAATGAATCAAAAAGCAAGAAATCCCATTTAAAAACATGATTAAAAATGTTCATAATTACTCATTTAATTGTTTTATTGCGTTTTTTTGGTTTTAATACTCAAAAAACCAAGTCTTTTTCTAAATTCACTTATCCCAATAGTAGATCATTACAATTGAAATAACATTTTGAATACTACCTAAGATGGAGAGTGACTAAATCTCCTTTATGCATTCTATGTCCTGATTGTGCTAGAATCAGAAACGGCACCAATTACTGCCTAAGCGTTATGCATATTTCAAATAATTTAAAATCTTTGCTTTGCTCACACTACCGTAGTATGAAGGAAATTTTACGACTACCATTGTTATTCATTTCTAGATAAAAGAAATACCGTGCGTTATTCACGAGACCATTTAAATGCATTTGTATCTTAATACGAACAGTTCAACTAGGAAAACAATGTTTGGCTTGACTTAAATCGCTATGTGAATCTTGACGAGTATGACTCGCTTACCGTTCGCTCAATTCTTATAGCATAGACTTAGATGTTAAACATTGTTCTATGTTCACACATAGTTATTCCAGTCCTCTTTTATCATATCGGCTGCTTTCTCCGCAATCATATAGACAGGAGCATTTGGATGCCCAGCGACGATCGCTGGCACTGAAAAAAAAAGATGAATTGGCCGAAAAATCAATTAAAACATCAAGAAAAACCGGAAATATGGGGAAAAAAATTGAAGCAAGCCAAAAAAGAACGCAAAAATAAACCGGCTAAAAATCCATATGGAAGAACATTGAAATACTCACTAATACTTGCGTCCACGACTCTCAAATTGCTGACTCCATACACTCGCAAGCGTGGATCAACAACAGCCGTTGGATCGTTGGACGGTCCCATTTTGCATGTGCCCGAATAATGATAAATGGTAAATGTGAAATGTCGCGTGTAACATGCCCAATATTCGTCGGTGCCAAAGCCAAGATGTTCACAAGCTGGCACTGGTGCCTTATGTAAACGCGCATTTATCGCTTGCATCGATGGCGTTTGAAGCATTTCAATTAGTTTTTTAATGCCATTTACTGAGACACGTATATCATAGCCTTCTGGATCAGTGAAATAATTGGCGTAGATTCGTGGATAAGCGAATGGATTGTTATTTTTCAGCAAAATTTTTCCGCGACTCTTAGGTCTCAAAACCATTGGGAATACCATAAAAGCGTTCGCCTGACGCGCAATTAGTTTGCCAAACATTTGATTGATCAGCTCGTCACGGAAATTAAAGTTGTCGCGAAGCACGTCGAACGAATAAATCGAGCCGCCGATTTGTAATAGTTCCATGTCCGGCCAAGCGTCTAAATCGCGTTGATTTTCTAAGTCTAAGAACACTAGGGATTCACAGCCACCAGTTGACGTTAGTTTACCTTTGCCGTTTTGGAAATCGACAAAGTCTTGAACACCCAACACATTCGGTCCAAGGGTGCTCACATTCACTCTTACCGTCAACGCACCCGCAGCCGTGTGATCCATTAGATTTTCACCGACAGGCAAATCGACTAACGGTGCAATATTCATGCGTTGCAAATGTTGCGATGGACCTACACCCGAGAGCATTAGCAATTGTGGACTGAAGAAGAAATAAAACGAAAAATATTGATATTGTTTGAATCCATACGATCAGTATATAATTTGAAAAATGGTCTATTGATTCGAAAAATCATTATTTAATACCTGTTGATAGCACCTGCACTCAATATCACTTCCTTACTCGCGTACACTTCACGTCTTATTCCATTTTTGCTATATTCCACACCGTACGCAGCTTTTGTGCTTGGATCGATCAAAATTCGCGTGACTTGGCTCATTTTTCGGATAAACAGATTTTTGCGATTTTTATTCGGATACAAATAGCCAACATTTGAACTGACACGTACACCATTTTTGGTTGATGTTTGTAAATATGCCACACCGACTTGTGATGGTCCATTGTAATCCACATACGGTATGCCGAGTTCTTTGGCAGCCGTCACAAAATGTTTGGCCGATTTGGATTTCCACGGCACTTCAGACACTGTAATTGGTCCGCTTTTGCCACGTATATAAGATGCACTAGTTTTCACGACATTCTTTTCCAATTTCATAAAATATGGCAGCACTTCGTTATAACTCCATCCGGTATTTCCCATGGCAGCCCAGTTATCATAGTCGCGACGATTTCCTCTGGTGTAAATCATGTAATTCAAGACTGAGGATCCACCCATAACACGGCCTCTTGGCCAATGGCAACGATTATTTTTCATTGCTAAACACGATGAATTGCTGCTCTGTGTCTTATAGCCCCAATTCACTTGGTTATTCAATTGTAAAAAATTCACTAAAAGCGGAATGTCCATCAATAGACTCTCTTGACCGCCAGCTTCCAGTAACAAGACTTTCCAGTTTGGATTCTCTGAAAGTCGGCCGGCAATTGCACATCCGGCTGACCCACCTCCAACCACGATAAAGTCAAAAGTGGCTCTTGTGCCGTCCTTAGTCTCATCCAGATCTTCAATTGCTGCATTTCGCTGGCCACGATACAGAAAATCCATCAACGACGACAATAATTGACCTTGAGACAAACGGAACCCACAACACATCAGCAACACCAAAAAAAACGCTTGAACAATTTTCATTGTGTGACACTTGAAATTTTTCTTTTCCTTATTATAATTATAGAAATAACTAAAAATTTCACTGTCGCTTATGCCTCTCAGTGGTTTTTTTCGCTAATAAAATGGAATTTTATTTCGTGAAAACTCAATGACCATATCCTGTTCAATTGATTTTATTCACACTCTTTTTCACTGCACGAAAACACATTTATATTTATTTTAAATCGCGTTCGGCGAGATCGTGCCTGATCAACTTTATCGCACGAAATGAGCTCTCGCTGCGATTATTCTACTGTTCTTAAATATGTAACAAAGAGTTCTACGGATCCAACAACTACCACTACAACCAAAAAAAACGGTTTCACCTTTGGCTATCGCATGGTTTGTACGTGAGCCTACCTTGATTAACTCGTTGCGTTTCCCCCCCAGAAATGATAAAACATCAAGTACCTATGTATACTATAATATCGGACTACAACCACCAGCGGTTGACGTTTTTCGCATTCATTCGTATGGACACGTGAGCGTGTTTGTGTTTGGGTTCGTTTGTGTTTGTATACTTTAATCCATTTCCATATGGTTTCCAGCAATCGTTCCTGCGATGCGCGCATTAACCTGTGTCGTCGCAGCATTGGCACGCATCTAACCATATGCAAATGCTTGAGCAAAACCAATGAGAAAAAAAACCTTCTTTCCACTGACGACAACAATATCTATAAACAACATAGATAAATAAATTGTTTTCGTTTTTCGGCGAAAAAATCCCAAAACCAAAAACCAATGAATATTCAAGAGACTGCAAAGATAAAACGTGAATCGCTGTACAAGTAGCCGAACCACATATAAATTTAAACCGATTTATAGTGTTTATGTGCTTGGCACATCAGGCGACAATTGCCATTTTTATGAGTTTTTCACTTAAAATTGTCATATTTACAGTATCACAGCTCGCTTTTTTTATATTCACAAAACGTACGGGTTCGCCGTAATGCGCAGATTCCATTTGCACGCGCGGCGATCTTTGAAATTGATTTATAGATTAGTATCATCAAGTTGTTTTGTGTTTGTTTTTTATGAACTAAAAATGACGAACGTCAGAGGTTTTGTCATTTGTTAGGAAACTTGAAACATATGTTAGCATTGTTTTGCGACTCACTTTTTTAAATTCTCATTCTTTTCGATGATAGGTTTTCCTTAGGACTGGTTTCTTTCGTCGATCCAAAAGTTTTAACTTTTATCTATCATTTCGTAAATATTCGAATACACTGATTGATTCGCTTTTTTTGTTCGGCAAAAAATTTGAAATTATAATTTCTCCAGATGAGAATTTTGGTCATGGGCAAAACGACTGGTATTTCTCTATGCAACAGATTCAAACGGTTTATATTCACCGGTTTTATGATTCAAATCGATGACAACGACACTTTGATCATCAAACTTGATTTACATATTACACGTTTCGTCATGATTCAAATCTCATTTTATGCGAACGCTTGATTTGAACTGAAAATGCCGGTGATTCACTTTAAACCTCTTTCAAGCAGTAATTTTTTATTAAACCTTTTTTTGGGAATTTTATCGAAATTTTGAACTGCAACAACCTAATTTTAGCAAAATGCTTCTAGAACAATTTAATTTTGTGAAAAAGAAGACTTGAAATAAAAGAATTTATAACATATTTTGAATATTTCTGACACATATGATCAAAATTAACTACGTGATGATTCCGACGAAAGTTATGCGAGACAATTATGATTAATAAAAGATCCGGTTGTACTGATGTCTGAAGCTATTGTCGTTGATAAACTCGTCGAAGACAGAGGGACAGATCCCGTCGAAAAGTATGATATTAACGTCTCTTTCAAAAGATTAACTCATAATAACGAGTTGGCGTGCTGGCTCGCACATGTCGTCGGCAAATGATCAAGGACTACATTTTCGAAGCAACAAAACGATACAACTTAAAACAAGACACGCCCGCAATAAAATTCGATTTTAATTATTAAATTCAAAAGTAAAAAGAAAATTTACGTTTCATTTGATTTATTTCTGATTGTTTACATATTTCCACAAGGATAAAATGATTTTCGGAAGAAAAAAGCGCACATAAATTCAAAATGTATCAACACACAGGCCTGTGAGCGATTTACATGGGGAAACTGTACAAAATCATGAAATATTTCCAAAAAAGGTGTTTTTTCGCAATGTTTTCTTTATTGATTGGCTTTTTTTATTCTCAATACAATGCGCCGGACTCACGACAAGTACTTATGCGCTTGTAACGATGGAGTGGCTGAAAGAAAAACAACAGACAAAACATCGATTCATTCATTCGATGGGTGAGCATATTTAGATGAAAAAAACGGTCCAAAGAATACTTAAACGAAAGAGTAAAAAAGAATTTTTATGAGTACAGCCAATTCATTATTGATGTGTGGAATGCTTGCCACAGTGTAAAATCGTCCTTTAAATCTTAATTTTTTTTCGTATAAATCGTTGCACGTATTTCTCGCAAATCTGTTGGTTGGTGAGCGCTTCCGTGAACGTTGCGAATTATTGATTAAGATTAAAGCCAGACGTCTCATTAAATGGGATAGAATTGTGCAAGTAAAATGTGCCGGCATTTTGAAAACATATCAAAATTTATTGTTCGTATGGAATTTCCGTCAACGAGTGATGAGCGCTTCGTCTGACTCCGTGCCGATAATTTATTCATTCAAGCTGAAAAAATGCGAAAAAATACAAGCACAACAAGAATGGACGGTACGAGATGTGTGCGGATCATAGGACTACTTGGTGTTGATCGTTGCGATGGCCCTGTGTGCGATCATCAAACCTTTCTGCTTTTCCCATGACGCTACCGATTTTCTCTTGACATATGCCTTTTTCACTGCACTGTTTTCGTTGTTATTGTAGCAAAGGCCAAAAACCGCAAAATCTCCCAGATATCGCTTTTAGTTTCTATACCAATTGAGAATCATCGAAAATGGCAACAATAACAGCAGCACAAATTTCATTGCGATCGATCGATTCATGCGATCCAATTTTTCGCCATTGTACAACAAAAATGCGCCCTTGGCAAAGACAGCCAGCTCATTAAAAATGGAAAAATTTGATAAGAGCAGCGATTAATGAAAACACTTTGTTGTTGAGCCTTATTTGCATTTAAATGCATTAATTTTTGTTTTATTACACCGAATCCGACTCGCGTGCCAATGTCTGACCTTTGTATTATAATTTCTTTCGAGTTTTCTTTTTTCCTTTAGCTGGAGCAATGCGAGAGAAAATTACTACGTGATCTTGAGATCTTCGCATATAGAAAATCGGTTGAGCATTAAGTGCTTTAATGCAGACTCGATGCTGAGTATTACGGCGACGAGCTGGATGTGTGTAGTACGCTGCTACGCGGTGCCTACGTGACAAAAGCCGTGACACATGTATGCACTGAAGTGTGTACTACACACCAATGCTGGTGACGTTGTTGTTGTTCTGTCCACAGTAAGATCAATATCTGCAACGATTAAAGCATCAACATCGCAGTGTCCGCATCGAAAATTGCAATTTGTATTTTATTTATGTTCAATTCGGTTGTTGCTCATCGTAATTCCGTTCCGAGTAAATTATTTAAAATGTGATTTTGTGTACGCGATCATCATTAAATCAAATCGTGTTTGCGCATGTATCTACAATAGATTTTGTAAAAAGAGAAGCCGGTGCACCGGTAAGTTGTTTGCTTCAATGTATATATTTTCATGGCACAAGGACACTTAAAACGTGCAATTACATCGATGAAAATTGAATATATACACTCGTATCGCTCAAGCTTTTTTTGTGTTTTAATGTTAATCACATTCAACTTTATAAGATTAATGAAAGTTTAACTGTTTCTGTTGTTCATTCTCATAAAACACTTTTCAAGACAAAATTTGATTGATTTCTTGATAAATTGACTGAAAATATTGAAATTAAAACAGAGGCTGAACGTAATTATAATTATTATACGCGATGGAGAATTAATTTTCACTTGCCCATCAATTCCGCGGTTGACCACTCACCAAAAGTGGGCATAATTTTAATTAATCTGGTTTCCATTTTTTTCGTGGAGTTGTTTTTTTCTCCTTTCGACGTGTGACCTCTGCCTTCGTGGTAACTAAGTGAATTAGCTTCTGATGAAATAAACGGAGCGTAATTTGATACTATGTATTCAGCGCCACACTGTTATTCGATAAAGTCATCCAACTTAATAGCCTGTGAGAAATAAGCGGCTTCCAGTTGTGTGTGGATGTCACACAACAATTGTGTGACGCACAATTCAGGTGTATGTTCTATTTTCGTATAATTGCTAACGCTAATAATCACATACAACAGCAATTGCTTATGAACTGGTGCAAACACCATGAAGAATTATTCTAGATTGGTGGTCTGTGAATCCATGTTCAGAATTTCTTGTAAAAGGTAAAGGCTCCAACCGAACGGAATACCTACGCGATAGAATTTCCAGTTAAAGCAGTTTTGTAATCGCCTTGACCTTTAACGATTAATCTTGCATCGGGAATTCCACGCGATGCATTTTTATGGCACATCCAGACGAATTCGGTATATATATATGTACCATTCTTAGTATGCAGACGATGGAAATTCAAGCGAATTGACACTTCACCAGTAAATCGTCTGCTTTTGTTCTACACGCACACTTTTTTATGGTGTGGTTCTTTTTTTTAGCTTGACTAGTAAAATAAAATCCACGAATGAGTAAACACAACGATAAAAACAAGTGAGAATATTCTATGTTTAATCACGACCATGATAAATCTGAAATGAAGACCATTCATAAAACCCAACGAGAGAATGAATGACATAGTACTGTAACAAAGGCATGCAATTTCGCTCCGTTGGCACAAAGTGTGCAATTCGCCGATGAAAAAGACACTCAAACAGCTGTTGAGCCAACAACAACACGATCTTTTTATGGACAATACCATTGGCTTTGTACGGGCAATACGTTTCGCTTTCATTACTTCAATATTCATACGGCACTGTTGTAAATTGTTGTTGATTTGATACTATTTTTGTTTTGAAACTTATTTTGATACGTGGTCGGATCGATTTCGATCGATATAAACCGCAATAGCTTCCGTACAAATTGTTCAGAACAATATGGTCCTTTTGCAATGACATTGAAATAATGCTAGTGAGTTGAATGAGTGCAGAAATGAAACGTTTACGGCAATATATGTATGAGCAATTACATCGAAAATTAATGTTCATAAAATATTTTTTTACAAAAAAATAAAGTGTCCGTCTATAGATTAATAGCTATTAATACGACTTGAATGGGTGTTAAAGCTGGTGACGTCGATTATTGTATGAGTAGTTTGGAGCGAAAATGTAATACAGAAAAGTTGCGCGGAAAAATTTCAAATGAAAAGAGATAGCTATATAGTTCACTATAGTTTACTATACAGTTTACTATATAGCTATCCCTTTTCCGCCCATTCATCATCGGTATTTTTCCGCTCAACTTTTCTGTATTACATTTTCGCTCCAAACTACTCATATCTACTTCCTAGCCTATTAGGCATCTAATAATTACACATGTACGTCATAGAAACACTCAAGTGTTTAAGGTTCTTTTTTCCTCTCTCTCTCTCTCTCTTTCTCTCTAATTGAGCATCACATTGTCAACCGGTTACGGTACTCGCTGTTCATTCCCTTAACATAAAAATTGTTTACATTCATTTCGTTATTCTATATCAGATCATCTGTGACGCAATTGTCGTGGATTTGAAACAACTTGCGACAGAGAAAAACAGAAAAAGTTTATCGTACTGTTTATTGTTTAAAATTTATGATATTTCATTTTGTATTTACACCCATTGCCTATTTGTATCTATTTATAGGTAAAATAGGGGAAAAAACGATCGCCTGAATAAACCGACCGTTTTTGTCGGCTTTCATGATTTTCTAGCACATAAATTTAACAAGTGAACTTTGCCACTTTGCAATTGAGAAAGTTCGTGGGGAAAATTACCGGCTGCAATTAAAAGCATGCGGTAAATGTGGCTTAGTTAATTATTACATTCCAAAGATTTGACTCCGGAGCTTGTTTGAATTGCATTTTTGTCGTATGCATCGGAAGTCGTACGATGCATCAGCACCGGAATTATCGCGGATGCAATCCCCTTGATATCACAAAGGCAAGACGAAATTGCAGCAAATAGACAATCGTTTTTTTTTAAAGAACGAACACTATTTTACGTGGAAAAGATCTCTTGAAATACTCGTTTAAAGGCTAAGAATAGGACGGAAAAAAGGGTTAAACTGCAATAATAATTTTACTTTATATTGGTTTACCATCCATTTTTGTTTCTTACGTCTTTGCTATTTTTAATGTTCGCTGGCTATAAATAAGCGCTAAATTCACTTTATTCTTGTTCTGTAAAAACCGTTTATTATGATCAAGAGGTGAATGTGCCGCGTTTCATTTGGATCAATTGAAGAAGCGCGCGCTTTTTTTCTTCTTTGACGCTATCAAACCACATAATTGGTAAACTATTATTAGCAATGTCTTGCGGTTTACCACCAGGTTGTTAAGTTTTTCCACTAGCAAAACATGCAGTAAATTCTGGAAAAAAATCGCTTTCATTAAATTGTTATGAAATATTTTCATCGCGTCAAAATTTGACCGTGACAGAATCGGTTTTGTGTGTGGTTTCCTTAAAATCTTCTCCACATCCAAATAGCAACGCATTTTCGATGTTATTTTTATCCATTTAATTCCGTCTTTTCGTTTTATGTCAGATCTTTCTCTCCTTTCGACCGAAAGCTTGTTTACCGTTTAGAATTTGCACTTTGACACCGCGCTCGGGGTTTTTACAAAACCACACAGCTTCTCAGGTAAGCAACGTGTGTACGTAAGCATGAGCATGATGATGCCAATCCCATCCGAATTGGCGCCAAACGCTCTTTGGAAATGGAGCGATTTATGAGTTAATATGACATTGAATTTGTGAAGAAAAAACCAGTTTCAAGTTGAACACAGAGAAAGTTTGGCATTGCATCAACTTTCGTTACGGCTGAGTATGGGATAATCGCAAATTCTCAAGTCATGACCATAAATTTCGGTATTCGTTGTCCGGAATTTAATGGCAATTCACGACGGTGAATGCACACATTACAGAACTGCAGACGAGAAAAAAGCTTGTTCTTAACTTAACGATGACAAACCTGTTCGAAAAGAAATTTTAAAGCCGAAAATGTGTTGTTGCATTATCTGTATTTTAGCTGCTGGTTCGTTTGATTGCTCGCATTCAAGTTTTCTGATTTGGTCCGGTTGACGAGTTTACGTCACTGACTTCTGAACCATTCACAATTGCCGTTTTGAGTCGTGTGGTTTTATTGCCTACTTTCAGGAGTTTTTCTAGGTCGAATGAATACGTTTTGAAACGGAATACTTTATCAAATTCCACCAAGAAATTGAATAATAAACCAATTTTCGAGCCAAAACTTTACTCAATGAATGACTGAATGGAAGATGAATGAAATGTCGTTATTTTCTTCAAATTCTTAAAAAAATCAATTTATTTGGTTGTTTAAAGTGGTTTTTCGCTCTATTTAATCCATAACAAATCTAATATTTACGTAATGAAAACTAACTTATTTAAAGACTAAACAACAAAAGCAAAGCAAATGATTTGCTGGTGAACTGCTTTCGGGTTGATTGGAATATTGATAGTTCGTGCGTTTGGCGCGATAAAATTTGAACACATTTCACATTTGATCAATTCATTTGATCAATTCTATTTCTATGGCACATTTAGCTTCGCTTTTGAGCATTTCATTTTGCATTTGTGATGTTTACAGTTGTGCCACCCTCACTTACCCCTGTTCAAATCGAACTATCAATTTCCGCACCAATCTCAATATTCAAATGTCACACGAATTGAAATGATTTCAATGGAACTAAGAGTCAACTCAACGCATAATTTGTAAATTATCAGTCTAGGCACTTACATCGAAATATGTACACAACTTGATTTCGTTTTGTTAACTAACAATGCAAAATAATTTAAAATTGATGCATTTTTGTCATTGATTCTAACTGATATTTTATGAACAACATTTTCTTTTGAGGAGGTCTCATGTTTCTGATCTCATTTGTGTGATGTGTCCGTCACACTTGTTCATTCCTTTATAATTCGAATTGTGTATGTGGTAAGCCAATCCTCTTTGATGAGATCGGCTCCTTTCTCGCCGATCATAATGACCTGAATTAGTAAGAAGAAGAAGAAAATAAACGAGATTAGCAAAAATGAAAAACAGCACTAGTCACAGGGTAATCAAATCAAATAAAACCCTTAAGCCACTTACGGGAGCATTGGTATTACCACTCGAAATGGTGGGCACTGAAAAAGCGGGAAAAATTAGTAAAGAGAAGAAATATTTTGAATTAACGCCAATACTTACTGATACTAGCATCTATGACTCGAAGACCTTTGATACCATAGACTCGCAATCGTGGGTCGACAACCGCCTCTGGATCGTTGTCAGGCCCCATTTTACATGTGCCAACCTGAAATGCAATTTATTTGTTCATAATTGGGTTGTTCGTTTCATATCACACGAAATCACAATGTGTTTTGTATTGCATGTACTAACCGGATGATAGATTGTCATGGAAATCGTTCGAATATGACACTCGATGTATGCATCTGACATGAATTCGTGTTGCTTACAGTTTGGAAATGGTATCCGATGGATTCGCGATCCGAATTGTTTGAACACTTTGGTGTCTTCGGCCACTTTCAATGCGATTTTGGCGCCTTCCACCAGAGTATCTATGTCGAAACGATCGCCAAAGTAATTCGGGTCCATCAGTGGAAAGTCGAATGGATTTTTGCTACGCAATCGTACCCAACCTCGGGATCGAGGTCGCAACAGAAGTGGCATAATTGACCAAGCATCTTTATTGGCGATTGGCGCGTAAACCGATTGATACAAACTCTCTTTTATGCCAAGTACTTTTTTAATTCGAGCACCGGCGTCGGAGTTGATCGAAGCGGGTGCCATGTGGAATTGAATATCGGGCCAATCGATTGAATGATTTCCTAGTTTTGTCGTGACAAACGCCAATCCCTCAACACCACCTACGAACAATATTCAAATTATGTCGTGAACAATCATCATAAATTGTCGATGAGCAGTGCGAAAAGCATAAATGAAATGTGTTAATTACCGAGTGATGTCATTGGCCCTCGTTCATTCAATACATATTGATTGGTTGTTGTGGCCGGATTGAAACGATCTTGAATGATGGCTATTGGTTTATCCACGAGGAAAGTCAAACCACCCATTCCGACGTGATCTTGCAAGTTTTCACCGACTTGCAAATCTTTGACCACCGGAATTCCCAACTTCTCCAAATGAGCGCGTGGCCCGATGCCCGAGAGCATAAGTAATTGGGGACTGTAAAAAATGTATAATATGAAATAATAGGCATAAATATACAAATAAGTTGATTCAAAATACCTGTTGATTGCTCCGGCCGACAGAATAACTTCGCGACGTGCCGAAATGCGATACTTTTTGCCGTAGCGAATAAATTCAACGCCAGTCGCTTGCATTTTGATATCATCGATCACAAGCCGTGTCACATGAGCATTCATTGCGACGTGCAAATTTTTTCGCAATCGAACTGGCCGCAAGAAAGCTTTGGCTGTGGAGCATCGACTTCCGCGTCGAATGGTTCCTTGTGCGATCATGAATCCCTGTTGCTTGTGACCGTTTATATCACGATTTTCATAGCCCAATTCGGTTCCAGCCTCAACGAAAGCGGCAACAAGCGGCGTGTGCCATGGAGATTCCTGCACCGTGAGATAGCCGCCCTTTGAGTGACTCGGTGTTCTCGCCAGATATGGATTTCGATTGTCTTCCGATTTCTTGAAGTAGTACAAGGCATTCTTCCATCCCCAGCCAGGATTGCCAAGTGATTCCCACAAATCGTAATCGTGTTTATTTCCACGCACGTACAGCATGTAATTTAGGACCTAAAAAGAGATATTTAGAAATAAAAATTTGTAAGATATTGCTTGAGTAGTTCGGGATTTCCATCAATTTCGAAAATGATTTCAACAAAATAAAAACTTACCGATGAACCTCCCAATACTTTTCCTCTCGGCCAATTACAACGATTATTCTTCATACCGAGACATGATTTATTCGACGGCTCCGTTTTGTAACCCCAATCCAATTTACTCAATTGCAAATAAGCCGCTAGCGATGGAACCTTTGTGAAAAAGAATGGAAGAAATATTTTTTTAGTGATTCGTTTGGACAATGAAAGCATTGAGTAAAGATGGTGAGGAAATGGCCATTGAAGATTACTTACATCAGAAATTTCATTTTCATCTGGACCGGCTTCAAGCAATAGGATGCGCCAATGTTTAATCTCACTCAGTCGATTCGCTACCACAGCACCTACGAACAATATTCAAATTATTTAGTGAACAATTATCATAAATTATCAATGAGCAGTGCGAAAAGTATGAATGAAATGTGGTCATTACCGGCACTTCCCGCACCAATTATTATAAAATCGTAATTTGCGTAGAGGATTTTCTGGTCGATGGGTCGTGATTCGGGATCAACGCGATCATAGCGGTAATATGAAATTGCGGCCAATAAAAGTGGTATCAGCCATAGACTAGTGGTAACGACGCCAAACGTTGACTTTATCACAGTTGATGCAATCAGTATATTCAGTACCATTTCGTTTGGAGTTTTTTTCGGGTTTTTTCTCTGAGTTTCACACAAGTTTATATGTCTTTATTTCGTAAATTGTTTCTTCTTCTTCTTCTTCTCTCAATCACTTACTGGTATTTTGTTTTGTTTCTGTTTGGAGTTATGTTTTTTTTTTTTCATGTGAGTTGCCACGTTAAGTGCACTTTCGATTTCAATTTCGTTTTCGTTTTTCAATTTGAATTCTTTTTCGTCTCGGTTTCGTAGTGAGAATTCAAAAATGGGTCCAAATGAATATTTTGTCGTAATTTATAAGTTTCAATTGCCAATTAACTGTTACTTTCAAACAAAAAATTTCATTCAATTTGATATACATTCTCGAGCAAAAAACAGCGACTCGACGAAAGAAATTAACAATGATGATGTACTAGTCGTCGATGTTCCCGTTCAGTTTTGCGTGACGTTACGATGACAGCAACAATTCTGAAACGAAAAAAACAAAAGCAATAGCAAAATGAGTAAAATTGATCGTGAATTTGTGTTTATGTAGAGCATTTTTTCTCCACTGATTACATTTTCTATTACGTTAATTTTTTTCTGTGACCTCATTGGATTGGTTCGTGGAGAAAAAAAACGCATTTTTCTTTTTCTGTTGAAGAAACGTCGTAATTCCGATAACGAGTTCATTTACCGAGTTTTTAACCGAAAAAAAAAACGAGTAAAGAAAATTGTTCAAATTCAGTTGGTTTGAAGTGAATTTGAGCCAAGGACACAATTTCAACAAGTTAAAGGTCTTGAAAGTTACACACACGTAAGCATGCATTGTTATGTGATGTTGTTATATTGTTCGGTCGCACCGAAAATAGATCTTGCATTGCAAGCCCAACAACAACAACACCATTCATTGTTACAGTTGTTGTGCATATGCACAGATAAAAATGGGCCCAAAATAAGAGAAAGAAAACGACATCGAAATCTGGCAGCACATTGCGCATGGAGAGCGACAAGAAAAAAAGAGGGAGAGAGAGAGAGACGTAGAAACACGATAGACAAGTCACGTCAACGAACAATCATACAGATGAGAGAGAAGAAAAAACAATAATACGCAAATACGACAAGACTTGTGAAGAGAAAAAAAAATGCGAACGAAAGAAAACGAACAAATGAAATAACCGACGGTGGAAAAAAAAGGTTTTAGTTACGAATTATTAAATAAGTGCGGCGTGTGCGCCAAGCAGCCGCAGCAGACAATGGCAACGTAACGAACATAAAATGCCGAAGAAAACACGACTGGCAAGTGCATTTATAAATGATTTTGTAATAAAGCGTTTGTGGTGGTGCTTTGTTTTTCGTCTTTATTTTCATATGCACTCTTTCACTCTGTTTTCGGTTCTGCGCATTTGCATTCCATTCGGTGATTCGGAACTAGATTTACAATGTTTTTTATGGAGATTTTACTGTAGATAGATGGTTTACTTCATCGATATGATAGTTGAGTATCAGCACAACACATCAAATAAGGAATCTATTCACTTTCTTGTGGTCGACGTCGTGAATTTTTTTTTACTGTCGTACTCAACCACAATATCAATTCGAGAGATTTTTAATCCGGACGTGGTCTCTTTGTGGTTTAACAACTACAAATCGCGCTCGTACTTATCTGTTTTTATTTTTTATTTTATGGTTTTCATTCGAAATGCAAACATGTGGTCAAGTTGAGTATTTAATTTCTTTGGCCAAGAAAAATATAAACAAACACGTCGCATTGGCGTGTCTTTGTGAACCAACAAAACCATGAACATTTCCATAAGTTTGTAATTAAATGAAGGAACAAAATTTAGCCGGAAAAAAAGTGCGGCGCGCATTCACGTGAATCGACTGTATGATGATAAAAAGCACTTAACATAATTTGTAAGCGCGCCCAGCATAGACGGATAAACACCCATTTTACAATTTTGAAATGTTTATTACGAATGATGATGACTAGGCAATAAAGCTTCGAATCACTTTATTGACCAAATAGCATGAAAAGACACACTAGAAGATGAATGTGTGTGTGCCATTTTCGACAACATCAAACTCATTCAATGAATTGCTCATTACAGCGAATCGTTTGTTATCAAAAGCGAAAATTAAGTATTCCGTTTAGGTCTAGCTCAATTTAAGAAATGCTGCAATTTAATTTTCAACTATTACTTGAAGTGGTATTAATTTAGCTCACTTGAAATATAAATATCAAAATGTGGCTCAATAATTCAAATTAATCTATGCCATTCTTTGAAATTCCAAGTGTTTGCACTCTAATTCACACTTATTTAAAAATTGTAATTTTGTCATCGAGGTGCACAATTAAAAATGATTTTTTGCAATCACACCTTGAAATTCTTCAAAAGTCGATCCACTCTATTTTTGAAATGATCAGCGGTGACAGGTGCAACATTGCATCGTAATGAAGCAGTGTTGTGGTTGTTCTCAGTGTTGTCATTATTCGAAGCCACAAGTCGTTATGTAGGATATGTAGGAAAGTTAATGGCTTTTCATTTTGGATTGACTCAGCGAAAGAGGAAATTAATTTTCGTCAATTTGCGCGGTCGAACATATGCAAAGTACCACGGAGTTAGAGGGAAGCGTTGCATTTCCGCATTCAAAGCTAGAGTGAGTGTGCTTTTATCGTCACTCGAGAGTGCATTGCCATTAAAAATGCACTAATTCCCAGTACGACACCGTTCAAGCCAACAAATAAACAGCAACACGATTTCGAATTTATAAACTGCGACGATGTTCCGTTGGAACATTGTTCATTGTGCTTTCAATCTTCGTTGATGTCAAAAACAAATGGTTGCTGTTGTATTGTTGGCGGTGAGAGTATTAAAATTATGCCAAACACTGATGGATGGCTCGGTGAGAGAAGACGGTAATTCGTGTAATTTATCAAATGATTGAAGACGCAAGAAGCATCGTGGATGGAGTGGAACACCGAGTGATTCGAGTGTATCTATCGGTTCCTGTTGGTTGTAGTCAAGTGGATTAGCTTTTGAAAAACAGCATGATAAACACAGCGGTGCTGTCACTCAAGCTAATTAAGACACAGAAGACTAAGAGTACCTTCGACCAAGACGAAACAATTCTACACGGTTTATATAACCTTTGTCACAGTGCCAAGCGCACTCGAGACGCCGCCACCGCCGACTTGATTATTATGACAGTACAGATGACTAAGAAATGATACTGCGCTTGAACTGTGTATCGTTGAATTTTTACGCTGCACCACAAGTTTTCACACTTTCAATAACAACAACAGCGTTGAGGTGTTGAAATAAATTCATCTGGTTTTTTTTTGATGTGAGAAAAAGAAATTCTTTCAGACGGTGCGGCGCACATTTCCGATCGATAAAATATATTGTTGGCACGCCTTTTTGCCTGTGTAGCGCCATATCATCGATTCATTTTATTTGAACATCTCTCACGTGAAACGTAAACAAAACCAACCGGTTCGTTATACATTTATCGAAATGAAAAGTTCGACAAACATCGATCGGACGGACAGACGGACGGACGGGCGAAAGTTAAAGCAAATAGAAAATATCGAAAACCAAACACATTCGAAGCGATCTAACAAATTCAAACAAGACAAAGCAGACAGGCTTGTGTGATTGGGTCAATGCAGCAAATTCAATTATAATCATTACATTCAATATTTGGCCATTGACTTATGTAAACGGCCAAAGAAGGTAACAAGATAAAATTGCATTTGCAACAAAACAACAAAGCGAAATGAATTTTATGCGAAAAAAAGAAAGAAAAAAAGACTGATCGTTGTACGAATGCCGTGCATTTCAAAGCGAAAAAAAATGGCAAACGGGAAATACTCGTTCTGAAGAGTTTAGTGCGATGACATCTGGCGGTCTCGTCTTCGGTGGCATCATTGGAAAATAGAAAGAAAAATGCATGAATTAATATTTGAACCTATCGGCAAAAACATCTCGATCTGACACAACCCAATCATTAGCCCCACTAATTGCATAACAAATTATATACTGTTCATTTTGCATGCCGCACTCTCATCATCGACGCGGCACATTTCGAACCGTATCTGAATTTTGTATTTGTCCTTCTGCTGCACTGTGCTGTGTTTTTTGTTGCCGTTTTATTTACACGACAATCAACGTGAACTTGAATTGTGGCAATTATGGATCGAACGAAAGAGATAGGGAGGAAGAAAGAGAGAGAGAGAGGGAAAAAGTGAGTTTGTTTTATTCAGTTTAATTTTGTAACCGGATTGAAAACAAAAAGATTGAGAACTTTTTTTTCGTCGTTTATTCGACTTTTTATCATAGATCAGTGAGCATTGCGACATTGATTATGTCATGCAATAGCGACATTTGTTTCTTTTATACAACCAACAGAATCCGATGCAATTTAAAAAACAATGCTATGACGACTCTTTTTTCTCTCACATCGTTGTGATTGTTATCAGTGGCGGCGACAGCCAATTACGAAATCGGAATTCGATGACGATTTGTCATGTCGCGTGCGATAAAAGCCGCAGTGACAAATATTTTTAATGACTGAAAAAAGGCAAGAAATTCAGAGCAAACAATCAAACACGATTTTGTCTTAAGATACGTAACGATAAAAACAACTGAAATGACAAAACAATCAGTTCGGCACACGCAAAGGAACAACCAAAATAAATCACGTGTATTCAGCAACATTTCTCTAGCGCGCACTTTGAATGTGTTGATTGTTTCATGTTTGCTTGAATTTAAATGGCCAACCATCTCGTTGAGTGCATGTGGATTCAATTGGACAAAAGCCAAAACGAAATACTAATGGGCGCCATTTAAAATAATTGAAAAAATGAATTTATCTGTGGGATCATTGTTTCGATTCAGTCTCGCGAAATTCGACGTTTTCATTTCGTTTATCAATTTTTTCTGTTCGTGTCTGTCTCATTTTTCCTGATGCACCTCATTGTAAGATTGTGTAACAGCCACGACGGGTAGTGTTTATAACACCAATTCGCCTTTCAATTCGGAGATAGTTGCATCGTTTGGCATGATGCTAATGTTGCGAAAATGAAGGAAGAGAATAAAAACAAAACGAAAAATGAAGAGCGCACCTCAGAGAGGTAGCCACTTTTTGTGGGTCACTCAGCAAATGCGAATGTGTTACAACTTATGCTGCCTTGTTTGAACACACCGCTCATGATTATTTAATAAATTGTCTTCTCTCTCTCTCTCTTTCTCTCTCTCGCTCTGTGTCTATGGCGATGATGATGAAAAAACAAATGTTTTCGCTTTCGTTCATTTCCTCGATCATTGAGCACACCTCATATGAATTTCAATTTGATATTATGTGAGAAAGTGTGTTGTTATATTTCTTCTGGCCACTTTTTTTACGAGCTATGGCTTTGTTTTATGTGACACACTTCGCTTATTAGCTAATATTGAATGATTATTAGCTAATCGATTATGATGCATTGATTTATTTGGACAGGCCTATTAACATACATTGTGTTTGATTTTATGCGTATTTTTCATTTGATCGGCCTTATTTCGAAATCATTAGAATTTTCGAGCATTTTTCTTTTTTCTTACCATTTTCACTATTTTTCTTTCAAATTGACAGCACAATGGAGTTTGATTTCAATACGGTTTTTACTATTGTTCTTTTCACTACGAGTTTGAATCGTTTTCCGTTTCTTTTGAACACCAAAAATTGATGCAATACTTTGCAACGATCGAAGATGATTACGTCAGTAAGGCGATCAGCTGCGGGCTGCACAATTATTGAAAATATTAAGTGTTCGTTGACTTAAACACACACGGTTTACTTTTAGATGCTTTATCTTTTCTATTCGGCAACCGTAAGCCACTAATCTTCACGCGATCGTTTGCAACTAAATAAATGGATCTGATGAAGTGTGCACAAAGTGGCCGCGATGGTACGTGATATAATCGATGTTATTTCTTTCGTTCAAAACGTAAGCGCCGCTTGAATCAACTGAACACACTTCTTCTTAATTCATAAAACAAGTTACTTATTGTCTTTCGTACTCGTTTATCCCAAAGTTCGCTGATGGCGCAAAAGGAACGAAAATGCAAGCTGTTGGATCACTTTTCCTCAATGTTCCGAACTTTTTTTTCGTGTCCCGTTTTAATTTGTCGTTCGAACAAAAAAAAAATCAATTTCGATTTTATTGCTCTTTCTCGTGCGCTTCATGCAGTACACCGTAGGTGAAAATCACTTGTGCACACAATTACAGTTTCGTCTTCAGTTTGGATGCGAAATGCGACCGCCGAGAGCTGGAGATCACTTCGAATTCGATGCGTTGCTGCTGCTGCAATTGCTGTTGTTTATTATCATCAGGCAAAAGTCGAACACAGCAGAAAATAAATAACCACTCGTTTAAAGTGCTGGCTGTCCAATGAAAGGTAACGGAACAGTTTTAGCCTGCGCGCGCAAACTTACTTTTCTATACAATAACAAAAAAATGCCTGATTTTATTTCCTTTCTTTTCCGATAGCTGCATGCACCTTCGCGTTTCATTCGATAGAGCACTTGTTTACCGAAAACACCGAACAAACAACGAAAACCAAACTACAAACCGAGAAATTCGCGCACTTTTGAAAAATTAGAAACCATATGATTACCCGAGAGAGTATTTATTTCGATTTTGCTAACACAATTTTTCTTCTGTTCGCGCAAAAAATTGTGCGAGCACTGTATGCACACGCGCGCGCACCCGTTATCGCAATTATAAGTCAACGGGAAACAAAACCATACCGTTTTTCCGGAAGCAAAATTACGGTTTGTTTTGTTGAGTGAATTGTTTTTCGATTAGACAGTGTGCTGAATTCTGTAATGGCAAATGGAATATAAGCCTACCCAGTTTTTTTCGTTTCGTTTTTTGATTTAATAATGTTTTTCAAACCAAAAAAAAAAACTTAAACCATATATTTCGAACAAGAAACAGTAGAATTGTGTATGGGAAATGTACGTTACAGTAAAATAAGACTGAGTGTGCGCACAGCTGGTGAACACACACACGTCATTCGAGCTCAAGCGATTTATATTAACTGATCGAAAGACTGACAATGGGATCACATTGTACACACCGATGACGACGATGTGATTCCATTCCACGCGCGCAAGCTGCACGGCGCGAAGGAAAAGCCAAAAGTAAAATTGAAAATAAATATTTATTATGAGTTCCATGCGCAAACGGGCTTTTTTCATATCGGTGTGTGTGCATACGAAATACATGAAAAAACCGGCAGGCAGTCAAATAAATAAACGACTTCATTGTACACCACAAGTAGTCTTGGTTGGATGAAATGGCAATCGATTGCACAAAGAGACACAAGACATCAGTGCGCGCGCGCGCACTTACATTCGAAACGGAGACGACAAGAGCGGGGCATTCGATTTCGTTGAGTCGGTATCGTCGTCGTCGTCTGTGGTGGTGTTTGTGTGCGTATGTTTGGGCTATAAGATCGACATGCATCCACTTAGTCCGAACCAAACCGAACGTGTTGCATTATTATCTAAATATGTAACATTATCAAAAAAAGAGCAAAAGACAAAAAAAATGATTTAATTCCGACTCTGCCGTTTTCCTTTGGTTGCATAGGCAATGCAAGCGACTTTTCCCGTATTGCTGCATACTTTGTTTTCTGCTGAGCATAACTTTTCTTTTATCATATATGTTTCTTTTTTTTCTCCGGGGCGATGTAATTGTTTGGTTTCGCCTTTGTTTAAGCGCGAACGCGCGCGACATGCATTTGCACTTTTTTCTCTCTCTCTCTCTCTAGAAATAGCGGTGAAAGCATGGGAGAGACGTCATCACAGCATCATTCAAGACAAGCCTTGACTCAATCACACATTCATCGATTGCATTGAATACAAAACGAGAGTTTTTTTTGTTTTTTTCATTCGCCAAGTTCGAGGTTTTTAAAATGTTAAAGTGAACTTTAAATCTGGAAATCGATTTCAAAAGCAGTGAAATTAATTCCGGAAAAAAACGGTGTCGAAACAAAATTTGGAGTTTCTCTTGAGTGGGGGAGATAACAGGCTTGAAGAATTCTCTCTCTTTCATGCTCCGATAAATTTAAATATTTGCCGGTACCGAAAACAAACATTATCATGTGAATCTCAGCTACGTGCGATCTCTCACACCGTCCCGCAACATTTTTTCTGTGTTTTTCACTTTGTTTTTTTTCTTTCATTACATTTCGGTTCACTTGGATTTATTGTCAAGGAAATTCCGTCTGAACGACCAAATGTGTGTGACACATTAAAAAACAACGTAAAGAAATGTCGGCTGGTGAAATTATGTCACGTTCATCGAATGTGTTTTCACATTTCGTTTTGCCAATGTATGAGGAGGAGTTGCTGGATTCTCTCTTCGTCAGTTACGACACGTGTGTCCATTTGCATTGGTAAAAATGCATACGCAAGAAAAGCAACAACGACAACAGCAGTAACAACATGAATAAAACCAATTGAAAAATATCGGTAAATGCGCTTAACAACACGTATAACCCATTTCTTCATCCGTAATTGCAAATTTTGTTTTTTTTTCTTTGCCTTTATGGCAAAATACGCATTTATACGCCCAGCCTAATGCATTGCATAATCCATATACATCTGCAGCCAATTTTAAACTTGATCAAACACCCAACCGCCGTCACCACGGTGCGGTGTATCATGCTGCCAAATGGACATTTAATTGAATGTTGTCGGTGCCGTTGAGATGATAGACACGCGCCATACGGTGTGAAAGAAGAAAGTACACGAATGCGAGACGAATTCTGTGAAAGAATTTCAGTGTGTTGGCGTAATGGAATAATGATAGACATCATAATCGTAAATAATCACGCATCAATTATCGGCAAACAAATGTGGCAAACAAATGTGGCAAACAGATTTCGACCACAAACTACTGAAAATGCTGCAATTTTTTTTTTCGTTGATCAATTTATGAATTTGGTGAAGGTAGCAAAATTAAAACCATGTTTCCTCACTTGAATGGAGTGCTAATTGACCCACATTATGCTTTTAGTCAACCCTTCTTTCTCTATCTATCTATCTATCATCGCCTGAATAGCTTCGAAAAATGCTCGATGTTTTATTCATTTTGCAAGACAGAAAATTAATTAATCCTATAATAAAGTTATTATTTTCAAATAATTGTCATAATACTTGCAACAAAAAGGTTTTTTGCGCTACTTTCCATCGAGTTGCGTGTGCGGCATCGATAGATTTGGACCAATGGCGTATTGTCCACAAAAAGAAAAAAACTAAAACTGGAATGATATGTAAATTAAATTATAGCACATCGTTATCGCTGTATGTTATCAAATTATGATTTTCTCTTGCTGAATTTCTTATTATTTTCACGTAAAAGATGTGGGTATGTGTGTGAGTGTGCGGTACGCGCCTTTCGCATTTGCATTGACCGCCTTGTATGATCCATCCACATATTTATTCAATGGCGATATAAACGTGTGCATCACTTTTTATTGAGCTGAAACCAAATACTCTGGCAAAGCATGCGGTTGGTCGTTCGGTCGCTTTTTCTGACTATGTGTACACATAATAATCGTTTGAATAAAAAAAAAGCTCCTTTTCAACTGGCATCAAATTCATTACACGATATTGTAAACGTATTATCAGATGAAATATTACGCAATGCATCGGAAAGAAAGGGAGAGCAGCGCACAAAAAGTCACACCAGCGCGAGTATACACACGCTCTCGCATCGAAATCGAAAATGTAAGCGACGATTTTCAACACTGATGGCCACAATTATTACGTTTTTATTTATGACTCTTACATTATCGAAAATGCTCGAAAATTTCGTCATCGATGAGTTTGTTTGTGCCACGTATTTGTGGAAATGGGCAGAAAGTCTTCAAAGTAAGAAATGAACCGAGGTTCTCTCTTTCTAAGTCTTTCTCTCTTCCTCTCTTTCTGCCATAGAAAATGCGGTTCTTGTTTCGCTCTGAGTAAATACACCACAATCGAGAAAAAGAAAGCGAACATTTTCGTTCACACACATTTCACACATCATCTGTTAGTAGACACAGTCTACTGAAAACCAAGTGACCAACAAAAAGATTCCAAAGGGAGCCAATGGCTCTCCGACGAAAGAAAGAAAAAAACAAGTCCAACAAATTAGCTTTGATTCAATAGCCAGAAACGCCATCATAATGAACACTAATAGCACCATCGATGAATCGTCATCATTGTGAAACAAAATATTGATTCTCTTTTGCTTTGCTGATCGATTACGAAATCGTGCTAGTAGAAATACAACAACGAAAAAGCACCATTGATTCCACGCTTGTCATATCTCGTTTCATTTTTTTTCGGTTGGGAATAAAAGAGTCACACGTGATAATTTGTACGTGTAGAGTATGAGATTGAGCACGTAGACACCAAAAATCGATCGCAACAATAGTTGTCTATTGGCTTTTGCACAAACTCACACTCACACACGTACAAGCCATTCTTCATGCACATCGTTGAAAGAAGAAAGAAAAAAATATTAATAAATAAATAATCAATTTGCGTGCTGGTATGTAGATGAACGCTGCATTCTGTATTTGCATAATCTTTCGTCATGCACACACAGTTAGACTCGCCGATATTGTATTTGGTTCGTTTTTATTTTTTTCTGCTGAAATTGAATAAAAATTGATTTTGCAAAGTGGCCGCTACCAGAAGATATGAAAATTTCCAAGTAACGCGAGAGAAAAAAATGCGGTGCAAAATGAAAGAGGGGAAATGTAATCGTTGGCATGGAGTGCATTTAACCGTGACAAAGATACGTTGTGCGCTATTGTAGCTAGCACAAAAAGTGCGGTACGGTTCATCAAGTCAATGATAAACGATATCCGACGCGGAATTGGCTTCGTCGTAGTCGTTTTGATTCAATTAGATTTTGTGCGAGCTCAAGAATTCGTAGCGTGCACCAGCTCGTAATAATATTTTCTGTGGGTTCAGATCCAAGTTCCATATCGAAAGTGGTTGCTTGGTTTACGGAGATAAAATTGTGCCATCGAAAAGCGATTATCCATGTCACTGTCAATTGCATGCATCGATGCCGTGCACTTGTTTTTTTCGGTGTGCCAAGAATATGCACATGTAGCCATCGTGCTCATTGCAGATGCATTCACGTACTCAACCCAGAAAATTCACATTACATAGACAGAGAGTGCACTTGACACATTCAAGAGTGCAAAAAGCATGAAAACTGAGCCATCCATTTTTTTCACGTCATTTTGCAAAACGACCGCACTGATTTATGTCGCAATCGACACGGATATTTCATCCTGATTGAAAAATGAATAAAAGATTATGGCATCTCCGGACTTTTGATTGCTTTTATTTCGGCCTAATTTCGATATTGCCAATGCTAATTTGAAAGCAATAAAACCAACCGCAAAATACGTTGCACCGAATGGGAATTTAATTAAAATTCAATATCATTACTCTATGACTGCTGGCTGGCATAGCAATTACAGAAAGAAAAACACAACTTGAGATCATTATGTGTACTTGGGTCGTTTATGTGTTTGTTTGTTTTTACTGCACGCGATTTCATCGCGCTCCGTTACACCGTCGAAGACCGAACGAATGCCTTATTATTGGGTCGAATGTATAGTGAGGAACGAAAAATTAATTTCACTTACCTTCCAATTTCCGCATAATTTGTACGTTATTCGTAACTAACACCAAATTCCATATCGGATTCAACGATACTCTATCGACCGCGCACTTGCGACTACGCGAACAAGTGTGATTATTATATGTACGTAAACAAACAACTGAATGACAAAAACGCACGAGGAAAGTAGCCACCAACCAAAAATGAATTCATAAATACCAATCCAATCGAGCGTTGCGATTTATGGATTATGTAACAAAACCGACATTTTCTGCGGTCTCGGCCCAGATAAAGTGTGTGCATGTGTGTGTGCTTAAGTGGAAAAAATCAGTGGAGAAATGCGTTTTCATATGCCAGCGAGCAATTGATTTTTGTTTTTTTTTCTCTCTCTCTAACTCTGTCTTTATGCGTACCAATTATAATGAAATTTTCGATTAAGGTCTAACTGTGATTATTTTGCCACCGTTTCATGATTGTTCTGCTTAATTCTATTATAAATCGCTTTCAATTTCAACTCTTCAATGAAAATTTCCTCCAAATTACCTATCTACTTGATTCGATTTGCCTACAAACCATTCGAGATCCTTATCATTAAATGTTTCATTCAGAGCCCAGCGGCGTGCTTTTTATGTAAATAGATGTGTAATGGAGTAGGATTTAATCATTTCGTCTTACATTTTGGGCCGGATTATAAATTCAATTAATCAGTCAACTGTTCAATTCTGTGAGTCAATACAAGCGCCGCAACACAAAGTGTGTTCAATGTTCGCCTTAATTTCAAACGAATTCGATTTAAAGTGTACAAAGATTGCTGGCAGCCAATTTCTGATTGACAAAAAGTGATTTGAACAAAGCGGTTGGTCGTTAGCGACAGTAGCAGCAGCAGCAAAAGTGATTTTCCAAACGAGATTCGTTCATCTTATTTATGATGACAGGTTCGCATTCGGATCATGATGGAATCAATGCACACAGTTAAACTTATTATTTTCAAAGTGAAATACTCATGCGGCTCCCTCACTTCATCAGCAACCTTTTACTCTTCGATGTGTATTTCTTACTTGCATTTCTATTTGGACGTGCTGAATTGGTCACTTGAATTCCGTCGATTTATCTAACCAATTCGGTCTTTCTGTTTTTTTTGCCGACAACAATCTCTCGAATTAAGATAACATTTGAATTCACGTGTCCGCAAATGGTCTACTTGAGGTGGAATTCGTATACAAAATGTTACACGTGCATTTGTTTGGCCTTCAAATGAAAAGTGTCAAGATTTATTTCACCATTTTTTTTTCCAATTGACATGGCTTTAGTTTAACTCTCCAGCTTCACTCCAATCAGCTCGAAATGAAATGAGAATTGTCTTTTTGTCGCGTACTTTCTTGTCGATGCTGTCCGCCAAACGGCGAAACGGTTCTGTTACGGAAAGCACACGCGCTATGTCAACCAACAACATTGAAAATGTTCCGCCACTCTCTTTTGCTCACATGTTTCAAGCGCGCGCGATGTAGTCAACAGCGAGCGGTTTAGTGAGCACGAGTCGAAACGAAACCGAAACCGAAACCGACGTGAGCAAAAGAGTGGAAATGGAAGCTCCAGTTTTCGATTTGAATCAAATGTTGGTTTTAGCGAGTGAACTGTGCTTTTATTTCGAACGGTATAGCGCACGGTTGGCTGACGTATGAATGTTTCGAGTGAAAGTAAACGTGTGGAGCCAATAAGCTGATTGAAATGCGTTGGCATTGCGCTCACAATGTGTTGCAATGGTTTTCGCACTTGCATCGGTCGGACTTTGTTCAAGTTTCTGTAGGAAAAGAAAAGCAGAAACAGAAACATGGACAGGATTCATTCAAGAATATGCAGTCGAAACAAAGAGATGTTATAGAAAAAAAGCAACTGTAGCAGCAGCAGCAGCAAGCAAGTTGACAGAAAAAGCACAATAGATATAGCGAGAGATAAGGTTTTTGTGTTCACTGCCAATCGACAGTTGGATGCTCTTGAAAGAATATGCATCGCGATTTTCTGGTTAAACTACTTTCTTTTGATATTTCAGTTTTCTTTCTTTCTTTCTACTCAGCTTCTTAGTCCGCCCATTCGCCAGCGCGCGCGCGCTTCTTGTTTTGCGAACGGGCTGTGAATTGGCGCCAATTACTTACGTGCATGCATCCGATGCTGTTTTGCTTTCTTCATCTTCCATTGCTTAGCAAAGTGACACTGCAAATATCCATATATATTTTCAAAACAAAGCCACCGATCGAATGAGTTTTATATTACGTTTTTTTTTCTCGTAAAATATATAGTAAAAACTACATTAAATTTATTCGCTTTCAACCTTATGTACATTAATCGTTCGACAATCGACGTTTTTTTTCTTCTTTCTCACCAATTTCCATTTCAATTTCGATTACACTCTTCCATTTAGCTCCACACATACACACATACACAATGTGATACAACGCTAGAAAATCATAATCAGCATTTGTTTGTATTTCACTTCAATTTTTCTCCGAAACAATTGATTTCCATTGAACGATCGATAATCATCATCTCTAATTAATTGCATTAGAAAAAAACAACAATCGATTTAGCCTAAAGCGCCTAAACATACATTTTGTTTTCCCTATTCATCTAAATGAGCCGGTATAGTTTTATTACAAAACTATACAACAATTGATTGGCGTGTCTGTGTTTGAAATGTGCGGCATTTCTTCTCTTTACATTTCGAAAGTAACGCATTCAGTCCGTGGTTCGGATGAATTTTGTTTTTCCTTTACTGTTTTGTTTCTTTTTCTTCTTAGCAAAATGTGTGTGTGTGTGTGTTTGTGTGTAACATCAGTTCAAATGGTGTGCGCATTTGTTTATAATATCTTTCATTTTAATCATAGGCTAATGCATTGCGTCCGTTGGGCGATGTTGAATATTCTCGGGTAGTTTACTTGGAAATTGATGCGCTTATTGACTAGCTAGATATACGGCCTGTCTTATGATCTACCCACGATTAAATTTTTAAAACAAAGTGCCTTTTATTTCTTTCATTATTCAAACATTCGAAGCGGAATTTGCTTCTTCTTTTTCTCTATAATTTCAAAATGTATTTTCTTATTTTAATCCCATTTTTTGTCCTATTTTTTCAATTTCGTTCACCTGTCGAATCCGACAGCATGCGCTTGAGCGCATAGTTGATTCAAAATATTGTACAATACCAAATGAAAACAGTTAATGCATGGATTTTTTTTTCATAATTCATGACAACGTCATTTGATCTCAATATAAATTAAAAGAATAAATTATAGTTCGTTGTGTGACAGTATGTTGCATTCTGCTATTTGCGTTACATTTAAATCATATAATTCGTATATATATCACATAGGCGCACATTCAAGTGCCAAATTGTTCAGCCAATTTCCCTCCAAGTTCCGTTCACCATTCATGAAATCGCATTGATGTTGATTGATTTTTTGGTGCGTTGACCCCAGTCCTCCTTTATCATATCCGCCCCTTTTTCACCAATCATAATTACCTAAGTCGAAAATGAACGAAAAAAAGATGCATAAATTAAAGGCCAATTTAGACGAAAAATAATTTGTGTTAACACTATTCGTAATGATCACTTACCGGCGCATTTGGATTACCACTTATGATTGTCGGCACTGCAAAATGAAAAGAAGAAACACGAACACATTTAGACTACTTGAAATATGGAATTTTATGAGAGAAATATAAAACTCACTAATACTGGCGTCAATAACACGCAGCCCAGTCACACCATAGACACGCAACCTAGAATCGACAACTGCTCCATCGTCATAGCTTGGGCCCATTTTTGCCGTGCCCGTCGGATGGTAGATTGTAAATGTGAACTGATTCGATGGGAAAAAGACGTGGTTTAAATATCGATAAAGTGACAATTCTACTGAAAAATGATTGAAAAAATACGCTAAATCGTTGCACACACCTGTCGAATGGAGCATTCCCAATATTCGTCGGAATCGAACGGCAAATGACGACATCCAGGGAATGGAATTCGATGCAAACGTGATCCAAAACGTTTCATTGCTGGCTGATCGGATATATTACATGCTATTCTGATCCCTTCTATGAGAACGTTAATATCTTCACGGTGCGCAAAATAATTCGGTTCAATTACTGGCTTGTGCAGTGGATTTTTACTCCGGAGTGTTACTCTTCCAGTACTTTTCGGACTGTTTGCGAGTAGAATTCGATTTGTTTTCATTTAAATTTTCATTTGAAAAAATTTCAAAGTTTTCAAATAGAATTCAATTGAATGAAATTTCATTTAAACTCACCGTAAAAGCAAAGGTAAAATGGTCCATGTTTCGGAATTGAGAAGTGGTTTGTAGACCGTATTAAACACGCCATCTCGAAGATTGACAATTTTTCGAATTTGTTCACCACCATCGGAGTTGATTGAGCTTGGCGCAAAATGATATTGAACATCGGGCCAATCACCAGACGGGTCAGCGTATTTCGTATTTACGAATGCGACTCCTTCAACACCAGGCATTGTCATTGGTCCTTTTTCGTTCATAATATAATCCATGCCCACTGACATTGTTGTGAAACGTCTTCGTGTGAACGTAACTGGTTCGTCAATTACCTAATATTCAAATAACTGGTTTAGACCAAGTATGAGTTAACCTAAAACTACTACCGGTTCAAATACATATATTCATTGCACTTACAAATGTCAATCCGCCCAGACCCACATGATCTTGTAAATTGAGACCGACTGGCAAATCAGCGATTTGTGAAATGTTATGGGCAATCATTTGATCTAATGGACCTACTCCAGACAGCATTAACAGTTGAGGGCTAATAAAATAAAATGGAATGAAAATGAAAATAAAAAATTTAATTTTGAATTAAAATTTATTTATAATACCTGTTGATTGCTCCCGCGCTGAGAATCACCTCCTTTCGTGCGTAAACCGTATGGATTTTTCCACCACGAATGAACTCAACGCCATGTGCTCGTTTACCTTTGTTGAACAATACTCTTGTCACTTGCGAATGCATGATGATATCGAGGTTTTTGCGCAGTCGAACTGGCCGCAAGAATGCCTTTGACGTACTACACCGGCTACCACGTCGAATTGTCGCTTGCGTTAACATAAACCCAGTCTGTGATTCGCCATTGATGTCACGATTTTCGTATCCCAATTCCATGCCGGCTTTGATGAATGCAAGTGATAAGGGTGTTCGCCATGGAGCTTCTTGCACGGTGAGATAGCCACCAGTGCCATGATATGGACTGTTGCTATGGTACGGATTTCGATTATCTTCTGATTTTTTGAAGTAGTACAACACATTCTCATAGTCCCAACCAGGATTGCCTTGCTCTGACCATGAATCATAATCCTTTTTGTTGCCTCGCACGTAAACCATGGCATTCAGGACCTGGAAAGGAGATTTTTAATAATGAAAATTTATAAGATTGAGAAGTTCGGAATTTCCATCAATTTTGAAAACGATTTCCACAAAATTTAACTTACCGATGAACCACCCATCACTTTTCCTCTGGGCCAATTGCATCGATCGCCAATCATCGCCTGACAATAAGCTCGATCAGGTGGTGGTGTCGTTTGATACTTCCAATCCAATTCGCTCAGTTGTAGATAGCCGGCCAACGCTGAAAAATACAAAAAAAATGAAATTCATTCCGACGAAGAAGAATAAAGGCAATTTTACCTGGTACATCACTTATCTCCGTTTCATCACCTCCTGCCTCTATGAGTAAAACTGTCCAATTCCGTATTTCGGATAACCTCGATGCCACAACCGCCCCTGCACTCCCCGATCCAACCACAATGAAGTCATACTGAACACGAATCTATGAAGAAAAGTGATTCCGATTAAATTCACCTCTTTATCCATAATCTAAATCGAAAATGTTTAGGACTTTGATTCCAATTAACAAAACAAAAGAAAAAAAACTTCGTATTGTACTCACTTTTTGCGCATCGATTGGTCTTCCTTCTGGATCGATGCTTTGGTAGCGATAATAATTAATGCCAAGCGCAAGTATTGGGATTAAACTTAACGCAGTGACCGGTGCAGCTAATAAAGAACCAGTTGAAAATACGCTAGATATTGCAGCAAAAGCCATGCTTTGCTCAGCATACGGTTTCGATAAAAACACTTTCTTCTCTATATACACTTTCTAAGCTTAAAATGATTGTTTCGTTGGGTTTTTCTTCTTTCTGTTGTTGTTGTTGTTGTTGGTTTTTATTTTCCTTTCTGTACAATGCTGTTGTTATTGGAAATGTGAAATGGTGACAACTACACTTTTCAAATCCAAATATCGATGTCTTCTTGTTCGTTGGACGACGTTGACGATGCCGACGTTGATGTGGTCGGTGTGGTTTGTTCGACTAAAATTTTTGGTGTATAATTGCGAATGCCGTTGCGTGCTGGTTGAAATTGCTTAGCGGCCGCCCGATCTTCTTCTATAATGTCTAAATAACTTTTAATATACAATTGGTGGTTAAGATATTTCGTTTGTGTGTCAATATTTTTGTATGATGACGATGAGGTTGATGATGCGGTCGATAGCCGGGATGATCTTGTATGATGCGTAGATGTGTTAAGTAGTGTGTGCTTTGACGATTGTGACGATTTGGTGGATTTGTTTGTATTACGTGAAGGGGAACGAACTGGGGAGGGTGCTGTTTTATGTGTTGAAGATGACGATGTCGGTAGATTGCTAGTTGATGCTGACAGTGACGCAGAAGTTTTGATTGAAGAGGAGTAACTATGACAGGTATTACATCGAATCGGCACGGATTTCTCTTGGCCCATTATATTTTGGAAATGTGAAATGTTTGCGTAAATTGTGTGTCGGAATCCACAATGAACTATCTAAAATGAGTTCGATGATTGATTTCGACCTGTTGAGATCACAATAGAGGCAGACGTAGAGTTAGAGATAGAGGAAGAGGCAGAGAGAAGGTGGGAAAGAAAATAAAATACACGAGAAATCAGTGATCGTCGGTTAGGGAGTTTTGCTTAAATGATAATAATGCCCTTTTCTTCATTTTAAATGCACATAATTTTATTTGTTTTTCTCGTTTCAAACTAACAACTTAAATTAATGTGACGCATTTTTCTGTTTTCTTCTTCTTTATTTCTACACAGGTACGTATAATTGAGTTATTAGCTTGTGGTGTCAAACGGAAAACTGCATCTGTAAAAAATTCATGCTTTATCCGAGGGCTATGGCGAAGGCGCCAGCCATTGTCCATTTGCGAAGTGCATTTGCCAATAAAATTGTAAGTTACACAGTCAGAAACCGCAAAAGAAATTGAGTTCGAAAAGTTCGTTCACATTCGGAGGCATTTAAGCAAGGAGCAGACCAACGTCATAAATTTTCAACGTCTTAAACACTTGCACAAGTTTCGTCACAAACGCGATTCGTTGGCAAGCTGCGACGAAGGCAAGTTGCGCAAAATAACTTGTAACGGAACAAAATATTCAGTTACGAACAGCAGAGTGAAACACGGCAAACGAAATGAAAGGAATCAACGGAATGGAACCACAAACACACACACACACACACACTCACGTCGCTCTGTCGACGAGAAATGAACGAAAGAAAAAACAATTCAGTGGCGTATTCTCTCTTTCCATTTTGGCGACACGTTGCATACACAATTCAAGACGGACCAACAATAGTAGCGAAGTAAACGATAACAAATACAAATGTTTATTGACCTTGCGAAGTCGAAACCAGCTCCAGTACACAATATCACACACAGGCCGCACTCCGACCAATCGACCACCATACTAACACAAAATGCATTTGAATCATTACTAAATCAGCAGCAATCAACTCATATTTCACTCAAACTCTCGACGCAATTCGTATGTGATTCTGGTGCTCGTTCGCACGGCTGCCGACGAAATGGAAACAAAAGCCGAACTCAGTGGAAATGGAATGTGTGCGCAGCGCAAATGAAGCAATTTTCTCTGATTTTTCTGTGTGGCGTCGATAAGACAAAAGCTATTTTACACTGAAAAATTACGATGTGCGAAGAAAGTTGGAATAGAGCCACGATAATGTGGCATGCGGTATGCTGTTTTGCCCAGCCGCGAAGAATTTGCCACACAAAAGCCCACTTTGCGATTGTAATGCTGTGAATGAAATCGATCGGTCGGTCGACGTTTTTTTCTTCGAATTATTTTGAAATTCCCAAAATGAAGTGCAACTGCAACGAAATGCCAAACGAAGAAAATCGACGGCAAACATCGTTCGCACGCGATATCTATTCACATTCACTGTGCTAGCCGATAATTCACATCGATCATGGGGTTTTTTGCGCTGACTGAGCTAGTAAGGTGGTGGTGGTGGAACAGCTTACATGTAAACAATATATGACATTAACATTGATCCAAGCACGGCGAACGGTTAATACAATTATTTGTAATCTATTAACCACAAGAAATTTAATCCACATACAGCACGCAATGCATATGAAACGCACGCCAATTAATCGCCATGAATTCTCATAACACTTTTTCTATGCACGTTCGAAATGTGCGGGCGAGCGCGCACGCGCACGTGAACGTGTGTGCAACACATTCACTTAAGATTTGTGCTTCGGCTTTTTTCTTTTTCATTTCAACTCTCACTGTTTGCTGATGTTGCATACCTGCCCGCTTCTATTGAAATGAACCTCCAGCGGCGTGCAATGCGAACGAGAAAACACATGGAAGAGTGAAGAAGTGAGTGAGAGAGATTATGACTCTCGGCGATACTGATCATTGGCAACAACAAATGCAATTCTCTTTTGTACGCTCATGAAATAGTCGAAATGAAGATGCAGATCCAAGAGATATTTTTTTTCTCTGCCATTGATTTCTTGATTTCTTGCCATTTGCGAAATTGTTGCTCAATTTCAAAATGATTGCATAGAAAGTTCAACGAAAAATTGCAAACAATTAATATTCAAGACATTGATGCGAATGATGTGAGGCACACGGCTTCTCTAGATGTGCTTAAGTCTTCTTCTTCTTCTTTTTTGTTGCGAATTCATCTCGAAATGGTTTTGGCATTTGAAATTGAAATTATTTCAGTTGGCTCGTGTTACTGAATGTTAAGCTCAGCGAATGAAAATGACCAATTCTTATGTCACAATTAGATTTAATCTTGACCACGCGTCCACTATAGTGGACATGTAGCTGTATGAAGTAATCGACGAAAAAGCCATGTTTCTCGTGTATAAATTATGAAGCTTGCTCAAAATGAAGCAGACGGCATAAATTAGGTAAAAAACCCATTTCTTCAAAGTCACAATGTTTAAATGGATGACACTAATGTGGCTTGAATCGCTTGGGTAGGTGCAATTACTTAATACAGCATTCATCTTCAGAGTCTTTCAGCTATTTTTCTCTTGCTTTGTTGGAGTTTGGTTTACCCGATCAATTAACTGGTAATTTGTCCAATTACACTTTAACCGCAAACAACCGAGAAAAAAACGGAAAGCGTAAATATTTGGAGCGATCAGTGAATAGGGACAAATGACTTTTAAGGCCACGCAATTTGAAGTCATTTAACCGCAACATTGTGGGCAATGTTATTTTGGTTATCAATACCATTCCGTATGATGAGCGCGCGTCACATAGTCCACGCACTTCAAATTAAAACCAAACACTTGCTGTGCAAATAAATTCTATACCGGAATTTCAGAGTTAGGAAGGAAAGTGTTGTTGTGTAAATTAAAAAAGAGTTACACGCCACCAACCAAAAGAAAAACGTAGCGCGAAAACAACGCCCGTTCATTGCAAATGAGTGGTGTTCATTTTAAATTACAATGTTTCACTAGGACGCCCTCATCTTTTCGTCAAACCAACTCGAACACACCGTACGCACATAGAACGGAAGTAATCAATCATATAATTTGCCAAGCAATTAACCATGTTAGGCGTTCAACCAGTAATTGAATCAAACAACTTTTACCCATACGATAGTGTTATTGATTTTTGTGCGATTTTCGAAAAGCGATCGAATGAATAATGGGCCACAAAGAGAGGAAAAAGCTAACACCACAGCCACTGAAGAGAAAAAGAAAACTGAATCAAGCATACATCGGTGTGATGTGTTGTATCGATTGTATTCGTGCAAATGATCTGTATTGGATTTTAAACGCTCATGCAATCGGAAATCGGCGTTGTAAAAGCAACGCATGAATACAAAATGTACCAGCCAATAAAGCAGAAACAATGATAGTATTGATGATTGAGAGAGAGAAAATGAGAGGAACAAAACAGCGGTTTGTATTCGTAGTTTTATTACCTCATTTTTTTCGCGCTTCACTTCCAGCTCCGAGCCAAATTATATAATGTAGAAATCAATGAAAATTTCAAATAGATCCTCTATTGAAGTGTGTGCGCGATCAAAACAATCCAATTGATTTTGTTCAATATTTTCTAAACAAATCACATTGACCGGTTCCGAATTGATCGGAGCTTATAAAACGAAAGTTTTATTCAAATTTTGTTTTGAAGTCGCCTTATGAACGCCCCTCCATTGAATTTATTTATTGTCACGTTGAAACCGAAAACAAAATCGATTTGTAAAAATATTGCTGGTCATTTTAGACCGACCGACGTCTCGAACCTTTTTGATGCAACATTTATATTGATTTGTTTTTGTGCTTTTGTTTTTCAAAATATCGAATCGTAAAGTTATAGAAAGTTTCACTTCTCGTTGGAATTCATGAACGATTGTTTTCAATGGGTTATGTATGAGAATTTTCTTTGGATTAGCTAAAGACGCTTGTCACCATTCCATTTTACCGCGTGCAAAATTTGAATAAGAAAACCATTTCAAATACACGCGTGTTTTAAAATCGAAAATAATAATTTCCGATTATGGTTTGTTGTTGGTTTTGGCCTGTGTGTGTGTGCATGTGTGACAGCTTGGCGGTGATACACTTCCACTTCCGCGGTTATGACTTGTGACAATGTGGAATCGGTGATCCTCTCTGGCTTAGTTACCGCAGAGCATCATTTGAGACAAAAGAAAGTAAAAGCTGGAGAAAAACGATAACAAACTATCATTAAGCCACATCGATGAGACTGAACGGTTAATGGGGTATAATTATGAATGTCTGTGAACCAGACGATTTGTTGTCTGTCTTTCTGCCAATGGAAAACCGGCAATGATGCATATATAACCTTTTGGGTCTGGTTAGATGGTTCAAACCAATTCCATTAGGTCTGTATTACCGGATCGGTAATTGTTTCAATATTGCGGCCAATTTCCCGTTCCGGCTGATTACACTTTTAAAGCGTGGCGCTAATCATCCGAAATGATAATTGCTTTTATCAACACAACAACCGTACGCATGTTATGCTTGGTGAGTTTAGTGATC